ACATGGAGTTGATTGGGGTTCCACAAAATGGCACTACACAAAATGAGTGTAGTGGGCCTTCGTTCAGGGTTGTGGTTGTCAAGCTTGCTAATTTGCCTGGGCCATGGGGTCGTCCTGCCCTTCCCATCTCCGTGCCATCGCTAAAACCTGAGATAGCTTTTGCTGAATAAATCTTTATCTTTTTATATAAGAATGATTTTTTATTATTTTACATGAGAATAAATCTTTATCTTCTTATATATACTATGCAAGTATAAATTTTCTAAAAGAATTCTATTAAATCTATGGTTTGAACCACTAATTCATTTGATAAACTAACACTCCCTAGTGTTAACGTTGTGGTTAAATAATTTACATCATGATGGATATTTAATGGGCCTATTTCACGATATGTGATGATATATTTTAGAATGATAGCTCTTAAGCTTTAAATTTGAGATAAACGATATGGTTTAATACGAGGTTCATCTTATCATCTATAACGATGTATCGATCGATCGTCGATATGGTATATACCGAGGTACATCGATGTATTGTTTATTGATACACCTAGACGTATCGACGATATAGTAAAATTATAGAAAAAAAAACTCAAAAAATATTTAAAAAAAAATAAAAAAAAGTTATATTATGATTTTTTAAGTTAAAAATAAATATAATTTTAGAATAATTTTAGCAAAAATAAATAAAATAATAAAAATATAATTTTTTAAAAATTTTACGGAGTAACTTTATGATACATTCCATATTTTTTCGTTAATATTGAATTATCTATCAATGGATATAATTAAATTGTTAGATTATTTTTAAACAACTTAAACTTTAAGATTCAAATGAATCAAGTAACATTGATATATTTGATTTTATTACCAAAAAGAATGATGAGACTCTACGAACAATGGATCGATATCCTCGATCCTATATATTGGTATATTAATTTAATATATTTGTTGGACCCAAGCTTAAAAATGATCTTACAACGTATTATACTGATACATTTTATATCATTGGTGTATCGATGTGATGATAATCGTAGTTTGGTCATCATGAATTACATGTGTCTGATATAGCTTATAAGATAAGGATGGTTGTGTAATATATTGGTGCCATGAAGAATATTAAAACTTCTATTTTTATCATGATCTACTGCTTCATATTATAAGATCAATCACCGTACTATTGTTCGAAGAAATATGATCAACTATCATTGTATAGTTATAAGATTATCTATAATGTGATGGTATGATGAGATTCGATTTGTGTATATGCTCAAAATCAAATATTGCTTTCATGTTCCCATTTCATGTATAAAATTGATCAATGTTTTATTAAGCTCTATGATCTAAATCTTAGGTGGTATGTGTAAAATAACACTTATTGGTTCATGCACCATCATCAAATTACGTAGACAATACTATCGACTCCTCGATGTTATTGTCATCATCAGCCGAGACATTGTTATTCATGTTGCTATCATATCTCTAGATCGAACAAGTTGTTAAATTTAATTGGAAAGGTATCTTGTCGCCCAAATTGATTCTTTTCGATAGATTACGACGAATAATTACGACGAATGATTACGACGAATAAAATAATTTAAAAACCCTTTATTATGATTCAAACAATTAAATTGATCGTTTAAAATAGGGTAATACCTTTGATCATTGTGGTATTAGATTTTGACCGTTAACAAATGATACACACGGTATCACTAATAATTTTCACATTAATAGAGATACATCAAATTTGGTAGACGAATAATCCAAGTGAATAAATTTTCACCACTATTGGCGTAATGGCACAACATAACATGATGGGCCGTTAAAAGCTCACGACACTACTTGCAACGAACAATCGATACAACAGAACATTATGGGGATGTAAATCCTGCCTAATTTCAAACTGCAACGAAGTCCCTAAAATTGCCATCTAAATTGGATGAACCCAAAAGTAAATAGAAGTACATGATTTGGAGACATACTACAAGTGTGGATCTATGATATAACAGATAAAATGGCCATCACTAATGGCTTTCATATAGCTAGTTTCCAGGTGTGAGTGATAGATTCATAGGGAGGATGCCGGTGATAGTTAGATAACCTAATTTAGTTCGAATCTAACATGTGCAACGAGTCTTTAATTACACCGATGAGGATTTCTATCTTCAATCTAAGTCGATCTATAAAATAAAATATTAAGGTTAGATTTCTGACATGATCACTTCGACGTTCAAGTTTTAAAAAATAAAAACATGAAAGATTTAACCTCGAGAATCATGCCTCGAAAGTCTTTACATGTGTTCCTTCTTAACCACAAGCAATTAGAAAAAAAATTTAGAAAAAAAATTGTTTTTTGTTTTGTCAAGATGCGACTTTAGCGGTTTAAACGTTTTATCTTCTTCTAGTGATTGGAATTGGGATGTCGCCTACGATATTATCCCTATCAATTGATTTGGAGGGTCATGCGCAAATGTATGGAAGTCCGAGTAAAGCCATTGACACAGCTGTTTCGGGTCAGGATTGCTCACCCACTTACTGAGCGGTCGTTCGACGTGGACGTGAAGATGATTTAACCTTCGAGTGTGATGTTCATCAATACACAGACACATTCTTCTGAGACGTAAATTGCACGTAACGAATACAAGCTCAAGATATCTCAGCCCATTCACCGAGAATGCCGCACCTGCGAAGTAAATTGCAGTCGCCGGATGCAAAGGAAGCTTCCGGGAACTTACCCGACGACTTGACTCAGGATGTGTACCCCCAAGTCAAGTCAACGTAATGAATAGTACATGTCAACCCGGGTGTCTTCATCCTCAAAGTTCCTACATTTCGTGGATCAACTTGCTCCAAAGGAGAAAGTTGTGCCTCTCGGTGATCAGCATGCAGCCTATGAATAGGACATGTCAACCCGAGTGTTTTCATCCTCAGAGTCGTAACATTTCGTGGAACAGCTTGCTCCAACGAAGAAAGTTGTGCCTCTCGGTGATCGGCATGCAGCCTTACCTTGCTCGGGATGAGGCCAATCTATTCTAAGCACCGAGTTGACTTGACTCCACTTGCTCGACACTTGGGATGGCAACGTGTGTGTGCATGTTCATCTACTTGGCCAACTGGTGACACGTAAAGATGAGATCAAACAGGTTGTACGAATCAAACGCGATGCATTAGAAAAATGAATCCGTGTTAGTTGGATGCTCGTAAGGTGCAATAAATATTGAACGAGCGCCGTCAAGCCGGCTTGAAGTCCACGATGGGCAATTAAAATTGTCCGTGACATGAGAAAGTGCGGACGAACTCACGCCCTTCCAGCACGGCAGAAGAACAGAGACAATGGGCTTTAGTCGATCCAACAAAGATCCGACTAAAATCCAACTCGTTCTAGCGTCACTTCTTATCTCATTGGATACTTTTGTCAATTCAACACATCATCAATCGAGCATCATCATGTTTACATTAGCATCAACCTAATATCATCTCGAATACCCTATCAATCTGATCAGATTTTTTTGTCTCGTTAACATGAGATGCACTCCAAGTAATGGTTTAATAGACCTCCTTACGATACGAGGAGTACTTGATTAGCTTGATTAGTCCGGTATAAAAAGTGCACAAGATTAAAATTAATTTATAAGGATTTAATGAATATATTATTTATTATTTTTAATTTAAATATTTTGATCAATTATTTAGATCAAATTACTTTTACTTTCTAATCTTTCGAATTCACTTAATGACCTAAAAACATCATATGAGCTTTTGTTGGGTATGCATCACTTTTAACTCCTATTCAGATGCTTACTATAGGCTCAGAACGTTGAACTCAAGTTAGTAGAAACTTTTTTATATGTCGGATAACCATAATTCATGATAACATTAATTTATATAAATATAGCTTGAAATCTCTATTCAACTCCAATCCATAGTACATCCTCTAAATATCTACAAGGATGATAATTGGATGTGTGGGAAGGGAGAAAAGCTTCCAAAATAAAAAGAAATCGCTTCGAACAATAATAAAAAAATATATTCGAAAAATGATGTAAGATAATATTTTTTGACAACTCTCATGGTTATTCGTAGAAAAAATCAAAATTTTTATCATATGAATAAATTATAAGATCACTGAGTTATTCATATTCAAACATAAATCCCCTTGTATATCCTCTCACATAAATATAAAAAAAATTATATTTTTTTTCTCCCGTCAGACACAATAAAAAGAGAAACATAGGAACATCAAAATATTTATTTATTTTTCCCACTAGAACCTAAATATACATTAGATATTTATAGGATAACTAAATCTTAAATTTTTTTAATGAGACTATGATTTTTTTAATCTTTATAAAACAATTAGACTCTAAAAACTTTAAAATATTTATTAATGTTGTCTGATGCATACTGCATTTACCGGTGTGGGTGACATCCACCGCAGACGCCTTCAATCACAATGCTGAACGTGAACCGATCAATTTTCCCGATCGTTCTCCGACCGCAATTGGCGCGACACCGACCCAACTAAAGTTGACTTCGACGAGTCTTTTTGGCTCGGCACGACGGTGGTGCCTTCTACCGCAGGTGACGTCGTCGTCGTGTATTTTAAAGGCCAAAAATGACGGAATATTATGATGTCAATTAAGACCATAAAGAAGTTATTAATGGTCTCCAACTCACTGTTTTTTAGTCTTCACTTATCGTCTCATCTCACCACATCAATTATCGATATGTAATTTTTATTTAGAATATACATGGATCATTGAGACTTTTATGGAGAGTAGGATGGAGGGATTGCTTTCCTATCTTTTTCTTTTCGAATTAAAAAAATGACAGATTTTTTATTAGGAATTTTTAACGAATCTTATAATAATTTATTTTCTTTTTTTGTAATTATCAAAAAAAAAATCGAGACTCTCTTTTATTATTGACCACAAGAACAACGCCATCCTTTGAATAGTTCCATTGGTGCAATGTATCCTTATAATATATCACCCTCATTTGCAACCTCGACCTTCCTCGGCTGTCCAAGTATTCTCTCTCTCTCTCTCTCTCTAGATCTGTGCCTCCCTTCCATGGCCGACCAACTTCTCTCCACCGCTCCTGACTACCATAGCCTCCCGGAGAACTACATCCGGCCGGAGGATCAAAGACCTGTTCTCACTGAAGTCGTCAGCGACGCCCACATCCCCGCCATCGATATGGGGGCTCCCGATAGGTCTCACGTTGTCTCTCAAATCGGCCATGCCTGCCGATCTTACGGCTTCTTCCAGGTCTCTTCCCACACACATACATCACAGGATTCTACCGTGTTCAGACTTGGGAGTGCGCTGTATGATTACTGGCTTATGTTCGTGTATAGGTGGTGAACCATGGAGTGCCAGTTGAGCTGATGCTGAGGTTGCTGGTGGTCGCTCGAGAATTTTTCCACCTCCCTCCGACGGAGAAGGCCAAGCTCTACTCGGATGATCCAACCAAGAAGGTAAGGCTGTCAACAAGCTCCAACATCCGGAAGGAGACGATCCGTAATTGGCGAGACTATCTTCGTATCCATTGCTACCCTCTCGAGGAGTACGTGCCGGAGTGGCCTTGTGATCCTTCTTCTTTCAAGTGAGAACTAAGATTAATTGAGTGTTCTCCTCCTCCTGCTCTGTCCTCTCTTCTTCCTCAAATGTGCATGACGTGCTCTATGGGCTTAGTACTTTACTCTCATCTAAGAACTTTCACCAACAACAGTTGAAGTATTATCAATTTAATACACCCTAAAGTTGCGATGACTTTATATTGTTCTTTGGCAGGGAAGTCGTCAGCGCGTACTGCAAGGAAGTCCGTCAACTGGGCCTTCGTCTCCTGGAAGCAATATCTCTGAGCTTAGGTCTGGAGGAGGACTGCTTGGTGAAGGCGCTGGGCGAGCAAGGACAGCACATGGCCATAAACTACTACCCCAGGTGCCCGCAGCCGCAGCTCACATACGGTCTGCCAGCCCACACGGATCCGAATGCTCTCACAATTCTACTGCCGGATCCGGACGTGGCTGGCTTGCAGGTTCTTAAAGATGGCCGATGGATCGCCGTAGATCCCCTTGCCCACGCATTTGTCATCAACATCGGCGATCAGCTACAGGTGACCACCCTTGGCTTGCTGATGATCCATATATTCTTGCGTTGCCATTAGCTTTAATGGTTATGTCGTTGCAGGCGTTGACCAATGGTAAGTACAAGAGTGTTTTGCACCGAGCTGTGGTAAACCCAGAGAAGGAAAGGATATCGGTGGCATCATTTCTCTGTCCGTGTAACTATGCAATCATCAGCCCTCCAGAGAGGCTCATCAGCGAGGGATCTCCGGCCATGTACAGGAGCTACACTTACGAGGAGTACTACAAGAAGTTTTGGAGCAGGAACTTGGATGAGGAGCCCTGCTTAGAGCTGTTCCAAAGCTAATTGTACAAACGAAGGGACAGCCGAAACCAAATAAAAGTATATTTTGCACTTGCATATGATCCCTTCTTTCCTTATATTTTACTATCAGAGCTATAAAGGTAGTAATCTATATTTTAAGATCTCTTTGGTGAAGAAGATAATCTTTTTTTACTATGAAAAATTATAGTCAAGTTAGGTGGATTGGAAGACTTATTTGGAGTTTTGTCTTAGAGAAGATGTATGGGATGTGGTTGGTGGCAATGCAATAACATCACAGAGATTTAGATACGCCATGAAGAGATGTAAGACTTTAAAAGCAAAAGCTAAATTTGTATAAAAAGATCAATTTCTCATTATCTCTTTAAACACATTATTCATTGCAAATCACAGAGATTTGGATCACTCTTGATACATTATTCAACAAAAAGAATATGACTCGGCTTTAGTATTTAGAGAATGATTTGATAAATAATATCCAAAGTTATCTCTTAATTTCTCAATATTTTTTTAAGATTAAAAATTTATGTCAAGAGATATCACTCTTAGATCCATATTAGCCTATTTGCACAAATAAAACGTTATATTATTCATGATCTTCAAAAATAATATATTCCTTATATTACATTTGTCCAAAGATGGGTTTAACAACCATCTGTAGTAGAGTTAGAAAATCTTTTTGTTTCTCAGGAATCCCTAACAACTCAAATAGTAAGAATTTCTACTTCAGGGGGAGGAGATGAAGATACCCTTTTTATAAATAATAAAAAGGATAACGATAATAATAAAAAAGAAGAAAAATAATGCTAACAACAAGCAAGAGTCTTATTCGAACAATGGTTTAAATAGAAAGAAAATTAAGTATTATATGTGTGACAAGTTAGGCCATATCAAGAAAAACCATCGTGTAAAGATTAAAGAAGAAAATATTACAAATAAAAAAGATAATTCTAATGCTACTGATAAAGATTAAGGCAAATACTTTATGACTGAAACTATTGAGGCAATGATATCTATTAATTTTGAAAATGACTGGATTGGTGATTCAGAATGTGGTCATCATCTCATTGGTGATGATAACAAATTCATAAATCTTCATCAATATGAAGATAATGATGTAATTATCATAACAAATAATATTGTTCACCAAGTAAAAAAGGACAATGCTATCATAATCTCAAATAAAGATAATGATCATATTACGTTGAAGAGTATGTACCATATTCCAAGTACGAAGAAAAATATCTTCTCTATTGCAAATGTAGTTGATGCTGAAAATTATATTCTTTTTTGTCCTAATGAAATCAAGTTTCTTCATAATATAAAAGAATTAAATGTAGGTATAATACAGGTAAAAAAGTCAAAGATTTATATATTTTGTCAACATCAACCTCTTATATTAATAAGATGAGTAAAAATGATGGTGCATCAATCTAGCTCGCTAGACTTAGTCATATTTTTTTTAATTGAATATTATAATGCAAAAAAGTTTAGTAAATGGTCTTTCAATTTGTGAAGGGTATCAATATGATAGAACACTTTTACGATATAAATTTCTTTTGGAGCTTATTCATGGTGATATAATGGGTCATACTCAAACACTATCTCATTATATGCTTCTCTTTATTGATGATTTTATAATGTTCACTTGGATGTATTTTGTGAAGGAAAAATCAAAAGTTCTTTTAAAATTTCAAGAGTTCAAATTAACAGTTGAAAGTGCTCTTAAAAGAATAATTAAAAGATTATGTATTGTTAATAGCAGAGATAGATTCTTCTTTTTTTTTTTGCAAAGAGTATAACATCAAAAGATAACTTATATGTGCAAATACATCACAACAAAATGATATTATTGAATGAAATGAAAGATTCGACATATCGTGGAGATTTATAAATATTAGCTTCATACAAAGAATTTACCTAAATCCTTAGGGGCAGAATGTATGACATATGCAACTTATGTTATTAATCAAGCTCTTCTTAGTCTAATCAATATGAATTCTCCATATAAGCTCATGTTTGGTGAGAAATCAAATGTTAAACATTTCAAAATATTTAATTTTTCATACTATGTTCACATACCAGAATTAAAGAGAAGTAAGCTTGATGCTAAGGTTAAGAAATGTATCTTTATTGACTATGATAAAATGAAGAAATATTAGAAATGCATGGATCCACAAACACATAGGTATGTGGTATCTCAAAGTGTTGTGTTTGCTAAAATTTCTTGTTATTATCCTTCATAAGTAATTTTTTTTAAAATATCAATCATAATAGTGAAAATGATACATGTTCAAAACTTGTGGTTAATATTCTTTTGTCATCTGATGCACGTATGAATTTTGGCTGATCTTCTTTGTTATCTTTATCTTTATCTACTCTTGTTATTTTTTTATTACTAATGATAGAGCAAAGTGATAAAAGGAATAATGATGTTCATAAAGAGAAAATTCTAACATTGAGAGGATAAAAAAGAATAATTGTCAAACTAGCACGTTACAAAGATGGAGACAATGCAAACATATGTCACTATTTATTTTTGGAATCGATCTTGAGCTTATTTGTTTTGATAAAGTCAAAGATATTAAAGTGTGGAAGGATCTAACGAAGAAATGAATGCTCTTCATAAAAATAAAACTTGGGATCTTATATCAAAGTGTTGTTGGTTTCTGTGAGGAATTTGATGCTATTATGAAATTCGATCGTCATGTGGATATTGTGTTTTCTATACAAATTCTAGTTAAATATTTCAGTGGTCTTCCATCTAATGAGTTTGGATCAGGCTCTGGGTCAAGAGGTATTCTCGATGGTGTTACAAATTTTCGAATATAGCAACTTGATTTAGGTAGATTTCTGGGCAATATAAGAAATGATCTGGATGGTAACATTCACATGCACTCTAGAGAACATTTTGATCGATCTTCTATTGGTGATCCTATACTTGGTGGTAGTTATAGGCATCACCTTACATATTAAGTCGAGACTTATCTCCAAAAGTATACTTTAAGGGAGAGTGTTAAGAAGTTAAAGTATATTTTGGAAGATCATATATTAATATTTTATATTTTAAATGAGATTAGATAGAGTTTTATGGATAAAAAATTCTTAGTTTAAAATATATTTTAGAAGATTTCAAATAAGATTAGATAGAGTTGTAGAGATTAGGGACTCTTGTATTTTACAACTATAAATAGGTGATATCTATACGTTGATCAATTCAAACCTTAAGTATTTAAGTCAAGTTTAAGAGTCTTTTAAGTTTTTTTTTTTTTTTGAGAAGTTTAGTATCTTGTTACTACTATTTGAGAAGGATTGTACTACTACTCACTTTCTTCATAATCTATGTTACTTAATCATTTGATTGTCCAATAAATGAGAACAACTATCTTGAAAAAAGCAGGAAAATTGTTTCAAACATGAGAGTTATCTAATGGTGCTGTCCTCAATTGGCCTTTGAACATCATATACAATTTAATATGCTTTGATGTGAGGTGGGTCTTTCGGATCATCACATTCCTTCATTTGGTGGTCGCAAGCCGCAACCATTCAACTTGAACTGGACTGTCGCATGGGTTGCAATAGGCTTTCCAAATTGGGCCTCCGAACGGCCCATTTCCAAATCCTACACATCTGTTGTCCTTCGAGCACAATACACCGAAAATTATCAGAATAACCTACCAGTTCCTTCAAATTAATGCACAATATGAACCATTCATTTGATGGGAGTAGACCCTAATATGAGACATGTTCACTATGAAATCTTTGCAATAAGTCTTTTGTTATAACATCTTACCTCTAATCTCAATCATACCCTATATGTATGATTAAGGCAGGATCTTATTTTTTAGTTCTTTTACCGCTATCAATGCGAGTATAACAGAAAAATAAATAATTTTAAAAATAATAATACTAATTTATTAAGTAAAATGATATAATTCCCTCTGTACATAGTAATTTTAATACATGTACATAATTATAACCAAATAAAAAAAATACTCATACAATATATTCAAAAGTAATAAACAAACAAATACTCATATGTCATCGTTCATATATGTGGTGACTTCTCAGCCTAATCACTTAGGTGAGATACTAGTATCTTTATCTGTAAAATTTTATATAAAGAAGAATGTATCATTTTATGTTATAATATTTCAAAATCATTCATAGAAGATATTTAAGAGTAAACTCCTCACTTTTTTATCAAACATAACCCTATAATATGACATATGTAAAATAAAAATATAACATTAAGAACTGAGTCCATCTGACTTTTAAATATAGCAAGGAAAGAATTAAGTTTTATTTATTTCAACCTACAATAGAGCTAGGGTTTCCTAACCTCCATAAGAATGAACAAAAGAATGACTAAAGAATAAAAGGTCATGCGTTATCAAATTGGTAATGAAGATGAGATCAAAATAAGATAGAAATAATTAAGACGTTAGCTTGAGGTCTAGGTTCAATCCCATTTGACCTTATTTTAACTTTTTTCTTCTTTTACTAATATAATTATAAGGTTATAGAAACTTCAATTAAGTCTAATTTGGTTTTACAATGTTTTTTTATCTAAACTAATCTTTTTAATTTCACTTATGCATTTCAACATTTTTAGTATAACATTTTTTTTATTTATATTTTTTTAATTTTTTACTACTCTATCCATGCTTAAGTAGCTTATTCTCCTAAACTTAAACTTTCTTACTTTAATTATGTTTAAACTCATTCATAAACTCACTTAAGGTTAATTATAATTTAGTCATCACTTCGTACTCATATTCACTAGCATATTTAAACTCGTTATACTTTACTATAAAATATGTTTAAAGCAAGTAATAATTTTTATGTATGTTGAACCAATATTTTATAGAATACTGAAAATAATATTTTTAGAAATCATGCACTTCAAATTCAAAAATAAAAAACATAAACATATCATTTATTATATTTATAAAGCATACACATCACAAATTATATACTAACTGTGGATAATATAGATATATATTATTTATGTTTTTTTTCATATGTTAATTATAACTTAATATATGTGAGACTACTCTAATCTACAAGTTATTTTTCATTGATTTGACTTTTTCTGAACATTAGCCATTTTTCATTGATTTTATTTTCTTATGAACACTCAGCAAACCACCATCTCAAAAAAAAAAAGACCCTATTATAGAAGTCAGTATGATTAGGCTCACAGCACAAGTTCCCTTAATATGGCCTGGATTTAGCAGATCATTAATCTTGCATTGACCATTTAGCACTGAACGCACACATAGTTTAGTTGTCAGCTTTTCAAACCCATGGAACATGCATCGAGGAGTCGCACACATCTGAAAAGAACACTGCACTGCAGCTGAGCTGTTTGCAAGCAATCTTTGTGCGGTAGAGTTGCTTTCTAGTGCGCTTGGAGAAGACCAAAGTCAGGCCTCCTAATTCCACAATCTAAAAACAGCTTTCAGCTCCCCATTTGGAGATTCTAAGATCTATGACTATAGATCAAATCAAGACTAATCCTCAAGATGTTGCCCACCACCAAAGCCACAACCTCATCTTTCTTCCTTTTCTGCTCGACTTCCATCACTCACAGTCCTTTTTATATTCTGATGAAGTCTACTTCCATCATCACAGTCGTGGTGAGGCTTCTCCAATGACTGCTGAACTCTTGCAAGCAACTCTAGCTTACTCTCCAAAGACACTGTGCAGAGATGAGAAATTATATTGATCTAATTCATGATGAACTGTTTAGAAGGTCTCCTATCTTTAGCTTTTGTTTAACTCTAACGAAGTCTCTCTCAAAGACTAGAATGATCGAAGATTGCTGGTATTACCATGAAGACCTTATATGTTTTGACACACATTAATAGAATAATAAGCTGGTTTTGTATCTGAACATAGTTTACTTGCTGAATCTTGAGCTTTAGTTTTCTGGAGAAAAGAAATCTGATAATGAGGTGTTCATTTTTGTCTTGTTTTCTGCAAAGAACAAGTAATGGAAAAGATGTTTTCCAAGGATAAATTCTCTTTGATAACGTCATCATCAATCTAACTCATCCTCGAGGGGGGCTCAGTACACCTACGCTTGAGGCCCTTTCCTTATACCAAGTGAATGCATGGGCTGCCTCACTTCCCACCCTTTTGCATGCTGCGCTGTGTGTGTGAGCTGTTTCTCATCCTCCATCTCAGTCCCGAAGTCCACAGAGGTGCCCATGCTGCATACCATCATCTTCTACTTTTGTCCCATGCCAAAAGCATCCACAGTGGGCAACGCAGCAGAGGAAGTGAAGGCTGTGGTACGCCCAACTCCTCAGAGGTCCGGGCCCATGGCATACCCTCCCTTTCTTCCCCACAATTACTCTTCCACTGCAACCCTGTCTCCTCTGTCCTTACTCTACACCACACTCTCAATCTTCAAACGCCCCTAGTCATGCAGATGGGTATGATCTAATGCTCGATGACCTGCGCGCTTGCATGAGGGGTTCCACACGGATCAACTTTGCACCGTTTATCATTGCATTGTTCAGAGAAAACCATAAAGAATACTTCAATTTCCTAAAGATACGTTGCTGCAAAAAGGTCCAAGTAAAGAAGGGTGCAATCTCACAATGCATAGAGAAGCTCAACGTGGTCCCATGCAGTGCCCGGGTTTGTATCTATGGGCACGCACAATCTACTTTACAGCCGAAATATATCATTCTTTGTATCTAACAGATAAATGTTGAGAGCGACAACTCACGAGTTCCACTTGTCTCTCCAAAAGTTGGAGGTGCTAATCTTGGTTAGGATAAGTTGACGATCGTATACGTGGCAAAGACAACATCCACATGCATGGGCTCAGAGGACATTGCAAAGGAAAGAGACATGACATGCCGACGTAGGGGGGTTTGATTCTGTAAGCCCCACATTGCAGAGGGACGTACCGTTCTCAGCAACATGTATGAGGTGGTGGTGGTGGTGGTGGTGGTAGTGGTGAGGGGAGAGGATGTATAGGCATCAGGGAGTCCTCGATCACCGAAGCTTTTGTGATCACATGGACTACAGTGACATTTCCTACGATGGACGGCAGGGGAATGCATGGGATTGAAACAGAAGCTATAGACCATATGCAGGACCTCTCTACAGCTCAGTAGATGGACCACCCAGGAGATGATGACAAACTCATCCTATGAATCCTTTGCCCTGTTCCACTGGGAGGTGTTTAGATGCTGCTATGGAAGTTTGCCAAAACCTGGAGTTAATTACTTGGAGAAATGTAGTGTTCCTTCCATGCCTTTGCCAAATCCTATTTGTCCTTTGTTACCAAAAGGATTATAATTTGTTGGAAAATATAAGATAGACTGAAAAAAACAAAAAAAACCTAAGAGAATAGTCCCACGTCGAGAGAGTCAGATGGTATATATTCGAGTCTAGCCCACAATATTCACTCATCATTAATGGATTTGGTATATTACTTGCTAATTGTGTGAAACAATTACAGCAAGAGAACCTTGAAAATGAGATCAGGGATCATTTTGTACACTTAAAACCGAGGATTTCTACAGGTCAAAGAATCCGAGATGAGACCTCATGATTCTTATAAAGGTAAAACCACACGCAGCTTTAAGTTCTGAAATGTTGGACAAGTGCTGACTACACAACTAGAGGATCTTTTCAGACTGTTGGACATGACAAACCTCAGTTGAGACTTTTAATTGATGATGAACTCGATGAGTTGCAGACTTCTGACCAAACTAGAATCTTTGATACATCAACTTCCCTCATGCAGGAACTCATACTCCATGCAGATTCTGATTCTATAAGAATCTTTCAAGTTGAATCCCTTCATAAAGAAAGAGATGGTTCTTCCTAAGTGTTTCCGGAAACATAATTCTTTGGAGAATTGCATGCATCTGATTACAGGAACTGCACCTGCTGCTGTGCAGTAGTAGTTGGTATCATTTCAGAAAAGAAAGTCATGCTACCAGATTGTTGTCTTGTGCATAGAGCACATTTAACTCCCAATTCTGAAGTTGGATATTAAGTCAGCTGATGAACAACCTCCACTAAGCAACATGACTGCAGTATATATACTATGAGTTGTGATATTGCTCCAGAAAACAAGAAAGAAAGAAGTAATCATCAAACACAAGATTCAAACAACACTACTCACGTTACAAAACCTTGTCTACCTTAAGTAAAATTAATAGCCATGCTAGTGCTTGAAGTTTTCGAGTTGAGAAAATATGCCCAATTCAATGCTAAAAGAACCAACTGTTCACTAATAAGTTTTGTTATGTAATGAAACTATACTCTTCTAGGATACAACTTTTGTAGTATTTAGTCTTGGAGTTGAAACCTTGAGGAGAAAACATTGCACATTGGTATGTTAAATGAGCAAAACATAAGCATGACCCAATGAGAATGACAAATCCAAAGAACTTTTAGCTGTATTAGAGTCTAAATGTCAAAGACTGACATAGCTTTGAACATAAATGATGCATTGTTCTAATTTATGATGCAACGGTAGGTGCATTAATTTCCTTGCGAGAAGCTAAAACTTACACCCAATATGTTTACTTATAGTTGTTCCTGTCATAGTTATCCTTAAAAATTGCTAATATATATCTACTATATTCATCTTAAAATAAGTTAAGCTAAATGTGAGATAATGATAATATTATTATTGTGATGATCTCTACATCAAATGTTTTACGTTACTTTTCAACCTGATATAGAATTCATGAAAACTAAGACTTTCTTTTAAATTATTTTTCTATATATATAGAGTTAACCACAGTTACATTTGCCACATTAAGATTCTCAATGGACCTAACAAAATTGAGCACTTCTAACGTATTATGTGCACTACCTTGACAAAATGAAAATGTATCTCTACTAACTTGCCTAATCGAATCTATCTCCTTGATTAGGTTTGCATTTGAGAGGCACTACTGTCATTCTGTGTGATAGAGAAGAGCTGTAAGTATTAGAAGTCAAAGGCATGAAGAAAAACAAGACAAATCAAAGAATCTTTAGGCACAAGAGTAACACTCCTGATGATATATACCTGATTCAGGAAAGACACAACAAAGCTTCTGATATTTGTAGTAAATGACTTGAAACATTTGCGACTTGAAGAGATTTGAAGAGTAATTCTTTTCCTTGAACTGCTTATAAACTCTCAAAACTAGCTGTGTTTTCTTATTTCGCAATATAAATTCAAGCCCAATGAAAGGAATTAATCTATAGAATTCTCCAATTAATTTCCTGAGTTGTTTGATATCAGGACATAATGTTCATCCTCAGGAGTCCACACAACATAATAAGGTTGCACATATGTGCAGTTTCAGCTGACAGCCGCCTACAAAAGCTTAATTAGATCATCATCAAGGATAGCTCTGTACAGATAAATTGCACTAAAATGCTACAAAGCAAATCCTCCGCAATGTTAATAAGCAACTATTTATTCACTGTCTGCCACATTTAAGATCATCAGACACCATTAATGGAACCTGGAAGGTATATTAAGCTCATGAACTTTGGCTTACCCTTTTTACTTTGTTTTTCCACATAAAAGAAGCAGAAGAAAATGGAAGCAACACAGTGACTGTATGATAACACACAGTGCATGTATGATAGCACACAGTGACTGGCAAAGCGAGCAACATACGAATTTGGAGTACTGAATTATGATATAAGAAGTGGGCGGAAAAATATTTGCATTCAACCTCTATAGCTCCATAGCCTGTGTTGCATTCTAACGCATGTGGACTAGTTTAGACATACCTGCAGAAGATGATCCCGAAATAACCTGACAAAGAATAAACTCCTCTGAAAGGAACATAATCAAGCAGTCTTGAGTGATATATGGTTTTGCATCAATAGATTTCGGCATGGTTTAGACATCTGATCATAGATGCGGTCAATATGTTAATCAAAATACGTACAATTAGAATAGAAGATCGCAAGAAGAAAGACAAAAATTACTGTCTATTATTCCATTCCTTCGATGCAGAAAGAACTTTCAAGATCTTCTCACATTCAGTTCAGTATTCATCTCAAGTACTCAGGTAGGTGGCGGGTGACGTCTCTCTCTTCTCATGCTCTTCTTCTTCACAAGTCAAGATCCAACGATAAGTGCTGCTCCTTGCTCGTTGATGACGGAGCTGCCGAGGACCCGATGCTCTCATGAGGAAAGGGGAGGAAGGGAAGACTAGAACTCAACTGCAACTGCGATGCGCTCGCAGGTACTCCACCAGATTCGGGGCAGTCGAGGTTGACGCCGAACAGCCTAACACGCTTGGCCGCAGATTGGTTGCCGAGAAGTGGTAGCGAATTAACAAAGGCCATCGGAGGGCCGCTGCCTTGTTGCACCCCAAACTGTGGTGGCCCTGCCAACGAAGATCCGAAGAAGAGAAACTGATCTCCGCTAGTGGTACCCGAGTTCCTGGCATTATAGTCGAAACCTGGGCGGCGGTGGTCGAAAACTGCCGGTGGAGGGATGAGGAACGGGCTGCCGCTCCACGGCCCTGACGGCCGCCCCAAAGATACACCCGCGAGCGGAATTCGTGGAAGTCGGGGTAGATCATGGTTGTCTGGCCGTCGCTTCCAGTCGATATAGAGGTGATCACCTCCGGAGTCGCCGACACCACGGCCGAAGGAGACGATATCCCCCGCATCGAGCCTCTTCTCCTTGACAAAGCGGCTCCAGCCCTTGGTCATGACGTAGCTCTGGCTGCTGTTCCAGTAGGAGTAGCGGAAGCGCCACGACTTTCCCAGGCGGTCCTCGAAGCTCAACAGCATCCCCTTCTCGTTGGCCGTTTGGTGAAGGGGGAAATACTTCTCGGCGTACTGCTTCGGGATCACAAGTCGGTTCAGCTTGCCAACATCGCTGGGCGTAACCACCTTGTCAAACATGTGCTCCTTACCTGTGAAGAAATTGCTCTCGTTGCAGCCATCACTGGCGCTGCGGCCTACGCTATCGGACGGACCAACATGCCATCTGAACGCATTGGACGTCGATGACGAGGAAAAGGAAGAAGATAAAGGAACAAAGGACAGGTATTTGGAGTTCTCCTCCTGCTTTTCTTCCTCGGTCATGTAAAAACCATCTCTTCTGATACTGAACTCCATCTGATGTGTTTGAACTCGCAAAGCCTCCTCTTAGGAACAGAAAACAGAACTGCAAGTGGTAGCTATTCTAACTTCTAGTATGCATCTGCCATGTATCTAGATTCCTTTGTTTCTTGTTTCCCTCCTGCTGTCTGTGGTCGAGGAGAAGGAATCAAAGGGGATGGAGGTGGGTACCTTCAGCTTTGACCACAGAGGGGATGTAGAAGGGATTGCAGAGATCAAGCTGCAGGTTCTTGTTGATCCCCTTGGAAAGACTATCGGCTTGGCTCTTTGGGACGTTTGTTTCTGCACCCTACCGACTGCCTTAGAAGGTTCCCAGGAGGAGGCTGAGAGATAGGGTATAGTTGGCTTCTCCAGTGAACCAAATGGGAAGTCTGGAGAGATGCACACCGACAATGGCGATATTAGATGGAAAGAAGAAGGGAAAGTTAGGATAGTAATGCTAGTCAATTTACGAGGGGAGGGAGTGAGGGAAAGGACAGGGCGAGGGGCCCATGCATTGTGTGGTTGCCTTCATGTGAGCTTGTCCTTGTCATCCCCGGGAGAGAATTCAGACGCACGGCTTGTGACAATGTGGTAAGCCCTAAAATAGGGCAAGCTGCTCTGCATAATCCAAGAACAAACCCTTTGCTTGATTTGTCAATGCGTTCCAAAAACACATTCACTCGTGTATTATTTTACGCTGAGCATCTTCGATGTATCCCGTCGCTTATTCATGAAGAAGAAAAGTGTTGTCAAGTTAGCGGGTCAACAGTAACACCAGCGGAGTTGGGGAAGCAGAAGGCAGGCTGGGGATGGGTTTAGTTGAGCGAGCGTTGACTTTTTATGATCGGTCTACGGTAGGCAAACAGATACTGCTGGCTACAAAAACGTTGCAAGTTGAAGGCTTAGAAGTGAATTACCGCTGTTGATGAGACCAAACTATAGAGTAAAATTAGATTTCACTCGTATCACATGACGTGTATAATGGCCAACCGGTTGATTCTATCTCACAGAAACATGAGGCCTGGAATTGGCCACATCTGTCAGGTCCACATCAATTGTTTTCTTCTCTTATTCTAGTAGATGAGACAGGCAAGAGGTGCGCGTGTGGACGAAACATAGTTCCACAACAATAAACAAGACATCAGTGGCTTGATCGATCCAGGCTTTGATTTGTGGGACTCATCAAGTGGGAGAAGCAATAAGGCACACATCTAATGTCACGTACCAACTTGAGATAGCCACACCATGAAATAACTTACTAGTGCAAGACGAAAGAGCGTGAGTCATAAATGTACTGTATATTAGTTCTTTTGAGGGTCATATTAATAGAGTAAAGAGTTATATTGACTCATATTAACTTGAGCCTAAGTATTCATTAATAGATCAATTGTGTTGTCAGACACTAATCATTGATATTAGAGCCTTGTAGGCTAAATCAATGACATTAATTGGGACATCCATGGTTTTGTTAAGTTTACTAAATCAAGTAAAGAATCAAAAGGAAGAGACGACTTAAGGTTTTGCATGCCTTCTGAGAGATGCAAGTGACAGCTGCTGGTTCTAATGCAGATAATTCTTGTCGAAAACGGTGACTTTCTAACTTATCTCCAGCCTTTGACAGGCTATCAGTGTACTAAACGTATAATACCAGTGTATGAGGAAGATTGATGATAGAGATGAACCTAGGACGGTGTCGCAGGGATCCCAGTTGCTGATCAATGCAGAGATCCCGAGAATGGATTGGTTGAAAGATCCAACACTGACCACCATGATGTTTACGTATCTATGTGCGTCTATCTAGTTGGACGAAGAGCTGAAGAAGGCATGCATCAAAAGACGCAAAATAGAGGGCAACTCATTCTTAATTGAGAGCGCAGACTTTTGTCCACTCCCGAATGGAAAACCTCATGTACATTAAATAGCATCGCATCCGACCTTCTTCCCCGAAACACTCTATCACCAACCTTTCCTAACCTGCTGTACTGATCTCTCCATGGCCAGAGCTCATATAAAAGAACAGTAATCTTAAAGCAGCAAATTGGAAGCCACCGCCTTCAGATGGCGACTACTCCTGATCAGTCTGCAGCCAGCACCAGCGGTCCGATCGGACGTTATCAGTTCCGGCCGGAGGTCACCGTGATGTGTGCCTCTGGAGATAGAGGCCCTTGTCACTCACAAGCCACCCTAAGTTATTGGAGGGGACCGTTTTGGGAAGGTGACAACCAAGGTGGAGGTAGTAAACCATGACAGAGTGCACACACCTTGTCAGCTCGAACACTGATTAGTGCAACTCAATTGGGTTAGTACTCGTCCTGCATACACACCACATCGGATAGTGTGGACCATGAGCGCAATTGCTATAGCTAAATCGAGGTGCGAAATCTCCACATCAAGCAGCTTGGGAACTCCACAGCTTGGTTACTGTTTTGGACCCGGTATAGAGAGAGAGAGAGAGAGAGAGAGAGAGAGAGAGAGAGAGAGAGAGAGCAGTCGGGTGATACAAGGTTCATGCGCCCCGATATGGGCATCCAACATGTGGGTGGTGCCACTTGGAAGCACCCCGTCCTCTCCCATAGAAAAGGACTGTCTGCCAAACTCATTAACACTCTTCTAGCTGGATCCATACGTTACGATCAAGCAAGGTGTGATTGTCTTTGTTGCTAGCTCTCAGCTGTAACACAAGCTCCAGCCAACTTTTAAGAGGTGAGATGAAGAAGCAGAAGGAAGAGGGAGGGGAGCCTCTTTTAAGGCAAGTGGGGAATGGCCCTGCAGATGAAAGGCTGGCTCACCGGGGACCTCTCTCTAGCTATAACTCTCTCCTCCTCAGCACTCCATCCTTGTGCCTACATTTTCTCAGATGAGAGGAAGATCTTATTGTGCGCATTACGCAACACAAAATGGCAGCATCTATAGTAGATAGGACCACACTCTCGCACAATTCTCTGAGTTTGGTTTGTTGTCACCCCCTTCTACTGAGCTTCCCCATTTTGTTCTTTCCCTTATTCCCTCACTCTCCTCCTACCTTCTGACATGCCCTCCAGTCTCTTTATTTGCTTGCTTCCTCTGCCATTGACAAAAAGACCTTAAATCCCTAATGATCTACCCAGATTTTGGAGGTAAGGAAGCGATCGATTTCAACCCTAACCACCACTATCGATGTGTATGTATGAATGCCTGCAACCAGATGCACAAGAAAACAAAGTAGCTAACTGGATTCGTTGCCTCGGGGAAAAAGGATGATAGAAACTAGAATTCTGGGCGGTTTCCAACCCCGAGTTTCCCATGTATCCCTCATAGAAACCGTTGAAGCTCCCTCTGTCGTGTCGCTTTCTGTCTGTCTTCATCAGACAGGGTAAGAGAGAGAGAGTTAAAATAGTTTTACTGCATGGTGAGAGGATATACTCCGCGCACGCAGCATGTTTTACTTGCATGTTCTCTTGTATGCTGTTGGATCCTGGAAGTGAAGCACAAAGAGCTGCTGCTGCTGCTGCTGCCACTGCTACTGCTGCTGCTGCTGCTGCTGCTGCTGCTGCTTCTGCTACCGCTGCTACGTGGCTAAATACAAAAAGAAGATTACTGAGGTGACCAGCTGTCCTCCTCCTGCTGGGCAACGCGCTTCGTTTATTACATGGCGACTTGATGATTCAATGCCTGTTTGCTTGCTGGCTTTCCGATAGCCCACTGCAAAGGCCTCCTCAAGACCTTCCTGAAAGTGCTTCGACAGTGAGTTGTAACACACACGATGGAAGTGGATATACCTCAACGACAGGCCACTAAGATGCTAACACTGATGTGCAATTAGAATGCGACTAAGTTGTAGAAGAATGTATGGTCGCCATTGCTACAGCTTATCGAGAAACCTGTGCTTTAAGTGTGATCTAATGCAGTGATCGGAATTCATGTCCTCTGTGAGTAAGACGATCGACTCTGTCGAACACAAAAAAGAAATATTTTCCTTGGCCTAAGACTGAAGTTATATACTATTGCCACGTTATATACTTCCTAATTGATGAAGCCCGAACCAAAATAGGTGACTACTTTCTTCTCATTTACATCTTATGGATAGATCACGAACACTTTGGTACAAAATTACTGAACGATTTGTATTCTTTGTCAATCAAGTTTGATGGACTCAAAGACAATGGAGACCGCTAGGATATGTAGGTAAACAAATTATGTCGTAGTGTTCAGTGGAACTAATCTGCACTCCACAGACAGCAGTCGGTATATATGTTTGTGAAAGCAAGAAGAAGAGTAAAAATGACTTTTGGAAAAATGAGATTCACAAAGCCAATAAAAATAACATTTTATAAAGGGAAGACAAACACCATCATCTCAAGTGTAAGTTCTGTTCTTCCGAAAGAGAAGGTTATGGGACACACTGAAATATTTCGAAGCCCAAATTAAATACAACGAAGTAGTAATAGCATGCAAGACCCACCAAGAACATCTAACACCAAAAGTTCGATCGTGTACCCCATGAAGCTCACAAGATTCGGAAAAGCCCACAGAAAGTATCTACAAAATTACTCGTGAGGGACTGTCACACGTTGATAAATATAGGTATAGTACTTTTCAACCTCAAAATGAACTTTTTTATTTAGAACAATGAAGATTTATCATAAATTTGTAGAAATGTTCAGTATATTGTTCATTAGTCTCTGGATTTTAACGATATGCTTGTAGTTATCTAGGTAGTTATCATGATCTAGTAATTATAAGATGGTTTCAATAATTACCTCAATCATGATCTAGTAGTTATAAGATAATTTTAATAACTACCTCAATAATGATCTAGTAGTTATAGGGTAGTTTTAATAACTACCTCAATCATGGATCACATGAGGAGTGAGGTAGTTACCACTAGGTCCTATAAATAGGATCATAGTTTTTAATTGCATTATAATATTCTGTTTTATCGTTTTCTTGCTCCCTGCACATAAAAAAAAGGAGTTCATTTTGAGGCTCAGCATGCAACCCTTCTTTTGATCTTTTGGCTCGATTTTTCGGCTCCATTGTTGCTAGATTCTTGTGGTTTAATTGTTTTAACTTTGTGGGTTGCAAAGAGCTCTTAATTTGGATGAGTCAGTCGTTTAAGGTTCTGATGTGCTTTGTTGACAGGATAAGAAGGGCTGTGGCTGCCATGCGCAGACACGGCAGCCAAAGTGGCCTTGGAAAGTTAGAAAGGAGATGGTGGAGTAAATTCTCAGTGCAACCCATTCTTTAATGAACTAAGCACTTCTTATCATGTCTCAATACTAAATCGATCCCAATATAATTACTTTGAGCCTCCACATGATTCCATTGAAGTCTCCTCCATCGCTTTCTTGATCTGATCCTATACCATCCGCCCTCGTCAGTGGTTTCCGCCATGAGAGCCGAACCGAAGCTCGAAAAGCATGTTGCCCACCCACCTCCCTTTTGCTTTCGCGAGGTCCTTCCGCCGAAAGATGACACCTATTGAGCCGCACACATGAGAAGAACATCTCACCATGAGAATTATCTAAGCTATTATATGCTTTGATTCGTAAACTTCTATCTCTTCCTTCTTCTTCGCTCTGAGGTTCATGTCTCGGCACTGACCTTCTTGATCCTTCCCAGAGCTCTGCTTTTACTTTGGGGCCAACCTTTCACCCTCATCTCGACGCCACTCCTCGTTCCATCCAACCTTACCAGTTGGCTAAACTATGGCCGCAGTAAATTGTCAGCAGACGTGGAGTGGGACTTGCAGAGGCGAAACTAAGGTGCATTTAAAGTAAAGGAGTTCTTAGACTTTTTTTGGCCCCTCACTTACGTGATGCTCGTTGCAGCCATTAATGGAGGTCAGGTTGCTATCATTTGGTACCATGTCTGAGTCACCTCCACGTAGCCATCATTTCTTGCAGTCCCATCTCTTGATGGTACACTGTGTCAGGGTTCCACAAGACAGAGGAGCACAGGCTTGCTCGCAGGGAGGAATCCACCTCATGTTTGGATAGCTTTTGTTGGTGGAGAAAGCAGGAAACATTTTTCACTTACATAAGAATGCCAATTTAATATATCAAGAAACCTCATCATTTCGTTCATAGATATGATTGTGCAAAGAGAATCATTTATGCATCACTGTTGTATAACAAACTGTATAGAAAGAAAACCAATTGTTTTATCTCAGGCACTATCTCTTTGTATTGTGCTTAAATGCAAGTCAAAGAGAATTATGATAGTAATACTTTGATCTCCATTGTTGATTGCAGTAAGTAGCTGCCCAAGTCCATGCCACATGACTTGTGTCCATTGCCATCTCTGTTCCAATTCTTACTATCAAATCATATTTCTTGCCTGAAATCGAATCTAAGCCTCATATTTAGAATGAGCATTTGCACTATAAGGAGACAAAGAATATCTTTGCCATCAACATTATATGTCATTTCGGTTGACACAACTTCTGAAACCATTCAAGGATTAGTGGTACAAATTTCCCAAGGATTATGGACCACTTCATCTTTCTCCAGCTTTCTGCATGATCCGTAAAGAACTTTCCTTAAGATACAGTCCAAGTTTCCCCTAAATGTTATATACACACACAGTGTTGGCTAATTAGCAAATGTTTTAGTTTGCTCGTGTTGTCAACATATCCCTCTACTTTGGCACCCACCTACCTTTGTCTATAAATCACCCGACCCTCCTCTCCCTCACCCCCCACCTCGTTAAGTTTATGTCTGAAGAAATGCCGATCACATTCTACCTTTTAGCCTCTGCTTCTGTTGTATTTATAAGAAGGCTTCTGCTTATTTGAGCCTTCGTCCTTGGCCTGTTTTCTTCTTCGTGAATCAGTGTGTCATTTACTGATTCCACGGTGGGTGAAGCTAAGCAGGTATAGCAGTTCTTTTCTAAGTTTTGAGCATTCCATCATATCGAAGAAGAGTTTTCTTAGCTACGGAATTGGGCTTGATTTGTCTACGATTCCTTCGTATCTGACAGGAAGCGGAGGCCAAACAAGAAGATAAGGCAGAAGAAAAGAAAGAGGTAGCAAAGACAGTTACCTCCTCCCCCCATCGTCCTGTCGGTGGACTTGCACCGTGTTGGATGTGCGAAGAAGATCGAGAAATCCATGCTCAAATGCAGAGGTTTCACTCGCTCGATCCTTTCTGAACTCTTTTTCTAACTCGATGCAGAATGCCAACTTAGCAGATCCCCACATCAGGTGTTGAAAGTGTTGAAGTGGACGTGACGCAGAACCAGGTCACAGTCAAAGGCATAGTAGACCCTCGAACTCTGTGCTCCATGATCCAAAAGAGAACAATGAGAAAAGCCGGCGTGCTCTGTCCGCTTCCCCCCGCCGAGGGGGACTACAAACCAGAAGCTGTTCCATCCCAGGTACAACCCATGGATGCATCGCAAGATCCAACCACACCTTGGATGAATACTTAATAGCGGATTGTCTCAATCCAACACAAAGAACAATCCAACTTCTGTGGGATTTAACTCTAAGCAATTCTCTTGCAAGATAAAATCTAGTAGTTTCATTCAGGGTGACAGTGATACGTCCTAGCTGGCATTAGATTAGGTTTGATAAGATCTGGGATCCGAAGTTTAGGTATATCACCTGCATAATCTATTGCAAATTATTTGGAACAGGCGAGTGGGATGACAACAGTGGAGCTCCTTGTGAAGATGCACTGCGGAGCGTGTGCAGAGCAAGCCGAAGACGAAACGACTCAAGATGCGAGCTATCTGTCTTCTTCTGCCTTTCCCTTCTCTTACTTCTTATCCTTCTCCAAGCCCAAATCACAACTGGAATAGCATGCTCATGCATGTCAGAAGATCTAACACGAAGATATTGGATGAGCTGCGACAATCGGAACCAATTTGTTTAGCCTAGCGGCAGGCACCGACTTGAGCGCCGGCAAGGTCACAGTGACCGGCACGATGAATGGAGAAAAGCTTGTGGAGTACATTCGTCGACGAACTGGGAAGGCAGCCAGCATCGTCCCCCAGCCACCCAAGGAGGAGCAGAAAGAAGAAGCAGAAAAGAAACCCGAGGAGACGCCCGCTGAAGGGAAGAAAGAGGAAAAGCAGAAAGAGGAGAAAAAGGAGGAAGTGAAATCACCCCAACCACAGGATTCTGCAGGCAGCAACAAGGACGGAGACGGTAAGGAAGAGAAGGGAGGCGGCGAGGAGCAGAAGAAAGAAGGCGGGGGAGAGGCCACTGCCGCCGGAGCAGCTTCATCGGCGAAGACGAGATGGCGATGAGGATGCTGCATTGGATGCCAGTTGTTGGTGAACCTTTAAGTCGTGGCAGAGGTGTCAGCACGGCTCGGTTCGGTCCCAGATGTGCAAGATCGCTTACGCGGATGCTCGGGTGGTAAGGGCGAGCATCGGGTCGGGTCGGGTTCGAGCGTCGTCCCCCAAGCGCGGTCTTCTTTCTTGATGAGTGGTTTGCTTCTTTGTCGTTGAGCTCCTGCACATAGGTCGGGGTCAGGAGGGGGATTTCCCAACTCGACTTCTTTGAAGTTTAAATTAGTTTTTGGTGGAATGAAAGAGAGTTGAGTGTTCGAAGTGTCTCTCCTTCCTGATTAGGTAGGGTTAACTTTTATATCTGCGAGGATGAGTTGATCGTACAGGATCAATTTACTATGGCCGACTGACTTAAGTTTCTATACGAGCGTCGACCGACTTGAACGGATCAACGCTGCGTAGCACCGTCTCGAGCTTTCTTGGGTGACTATACTATGATGATGTCGTCGTACGTACGGAGGGGGCGGCAAGCGATTGCCCGTCACATGTGTGTGTTGTGCACCATATCGTACTTGAGGTTCCGCGTCTGCTTGCCAAAATATATCCTATCACCCATCTACGTGATTCAACAGCCTCCACCACCACCTCCCCAGCTATGTAGTGATGAGAACCCTAATAATGCCCGTTGCATCTCAAGAAACCCCCCATGCACATATGTATGTCTGTAGTATGGAGCATAATGTGGCATTTGCTTGTTTTACATTCGATGCCACAGTATCAAGTCAAAAGCTTATTTAGCTCATCACTAGTGATTTCATTCTTCTGTTTCTCTATGATCTATATCGTCTCCACTAAGGAGATTCTCCCATGGATTTGTTATAGCAAGCAGCAGCTTTCCATTACACCAACAAACAATAGAAAACCAGTGGCTCAAATCTTCTGAATCACATGATCAATAGGGAACACAAAAGCAGGAACAATTGTTTTATAGGTAGCTTAAGATTATTAATGAAACTGAGTAAAAAACTAGGACAGGCCAAGAATTGGCTTGTAGTTAATAGAAAAAGTAGACACTTATAAGGGGATCAAGTTGAACAGATAAGCTATTAGGAAGCAGTAAATTGAGGAACCAAAAGAGAACCAAAGCCATTGCTGTACATGCTGTCCATCAATGATCCAATGTAACTTACTCTGTTCAATGCTTATTTGGTCCTGGTATTCAAACTGTCGTATATCATATCTTGAAGACGACCCTACATATCATACATACTCTTTATGTCAACAAGAGGATGTGACAATTTCATTATCCTAACTGCTGTGCTGATTTAGGTACAGTTCGGCGATTGCAGTGTGTAATGCCGCCCCGATTGGTAGGACATCCTCGTCAATGAAGAAATAGGGGGAGTGAGCAGGATAGACTGGTCCAGCACTCTCATTTTTAATTCCAGTGGCAAAAATAATCCCTGGGATCAACTGTTGGTAGAACGCAAAATCTTCACCGGCCATGATTTTCTTCCCCGTCTTCACCTTATCTCGACCGAGTAAAAGTGCACCAACCTGTTGTACATGATCATGTAGCCCTGCATCATTTACTACGGCTGGGTAGAATGGGAAATCCTCCTCTAACATGCTTATAAATGCTGTACATTGATGGACAGCTGCCTGGCCTTCTACTACCTGAGGATATACAAAAGCACTCTATATTTAGATGGAGTGCCATACAGTAAGATGATTCCGAGGCAAAGAATAAATTGGTAGTCCACGTCAATATTTAGGTTGTAGAATCAGGTAGCACTAAACTGAATGTAATAGAGTTATATATAGATGAGAGTAGCAAATGCAAAGCCATTTAAGAAAAAGTTGGTACAGTTAACATACCTGCTTTACCCTTCTTTGAAGCCTATGCAAGCCCTCCGTGGTTATACTCCTCAGGGTACCTCCAAATTCAACAAATGGAGGGGTTTCATCAAATGAGCTCCCACCCTTGACATAAGTAACAGAGAGTACCTTCAAAATATCAAAAAAGGTTCAGATTACAATGACCAAGTTTAAGGCGATAAACAATTTCAAGGTAAAGCATAACCATACCTTGTAGCCCATAAATGAATTATACCTAAAAAAGCCAACTAAAAATTAGTGAAGAGACTAGTTAGTCCATACGTAAATGATCTGCGCCATGTTAAGGGTCCAAAAAATATCTGATCAAATAGATCAGAAAAATGATTATGGTGTGATAAGCATTAGCATTTGGGAGAAGTGACCAGTGACCACATGACTACATATAGTTAAAGGAGGCACATGACTTTTTCAAGGCCCACTCATATAAGATGCAAAAATATAATACTGGCTTGGTGAAACAAAAGAAATAGTCAAAAAACGCAAGAAAATGGCAAATAAGTGAAGATGATGACATACTTGGCTATGTAAAGGGTCATCTTCTCTGGAAGTGAGAAGTTGCATCGACAGAATAGCAAATGATGCAGCAACTAGTGGATCCACATTTAAATGAGGTTTTGCAGCTTCTCCAGCTTTACCTTCTATTTTTGCTTCAAAGAAGCATACAGCAGCCTGAGTAGGCCCTGGTTGTGATTCAATACTTCCTGTAGGTACCTGATAGTTAACATGCATCCCAAAGATAGCTTCTACACCATCCAGAACACCATCCTTGATCATGTGAGATGCACCTGCACCACCCTCTTCTGCAGGTTGAAAAATAAGTCTCACTGTTCCCTTCAACATAGGAGCAGCAAAAAGCATATTTAGAGGATACATGCATCCAAAAGGACAATCATATCTATATTTAGATCCATAACTAAAAGCATGAATTCGAAGAAAAATGCAAACAAAACAACACATGTAAGCATAAGTACTGGTAATTGGGGTTCGATATAAAAACAAAGCATTGCTCGATCAGTAATCTTAATGTATCACCACAGGTTCTTAAAAGCAAAATCTTAAGTTATAGTATTAATGCTAGATAATAGTTAAAAGATAAAGAGGAAGGCGACGACAATTGCATTGCCCTCTAGTCTCCGATTATTAAATTACGAGAATATTGGTCAACCTCAACCAAAACTAAAGGTGAGGCTTAAATTCGAATGAACATCAGTTAGGTGTCCCGGATGACTCAAGAACGGTAGCCTTAAGAATAATAGTCCCACATGACTATGTGTTCAAAAATCGTCTTTATGGGCCAATCCAACAGCATCTCTTTGGGGACACATGAAGATGCCCTCCAACAGGACAAGCGCAAGGACTGGAAACCAACAACTCTATCATGCAGGACATTGATTCCAGTAAATGACCTCATTTCATTCGTAGAGGCTCCAGGCGATCATGGAAAGCCTTGTGCAGCTGCACCTTTAACAGGCATCCAGAGAGTAGTCTTAGACCAGATATCTATTATTCCAAACATGCATCATAGTTTGATCATTTCACATCTATGAAAAGACACCTTACATCCTGTGCTCATGTGCATAAACTCTTAGACACGAATTCTATAGTCATTGCCCTCTTGCTCACCTCTCTATTCTGACTAACTTATTCCCAAAGAATCCCCAACCAAGACTGCTTCCACAAACTATTGGGTCCTTGTCCTGCCAGATTTTACACAGTCATAGCCTTTCAGTTATTCAACTAAATGATCCATATTCGAAAAGACCTAGTATTTTCCACTGACAGCTATCTCATCTTCTTTAATCTCTGTGATCCTTACTAGCTAATCATCTGTTATTCCAGAACCTACTAGGTTGATTTCTGTGTTTGGTATTTATTGATGCCTTGTTGATTTGGTTTAATTCCCAACAAAGTCATACACAAGAAAATTCTCATAAAATTTTAAATTCATGCATATCTTTACTGATTATTACATCATTCCATTTGCCCAAGTTTTTTTAAATATAATTTTAATTGTATAGCTTATGCCTCAGCATACGTAAAACATCATCTAAAAACTACTGATGTTTTCCTGAAATTCTAGAAGAAATAAAAGTTAATATATTGACTACCCCTTTAAATAAGATATTCCCCACATCCAGCAGGTCTTTTTGGTTTACTTAATTTTTTAACAAAAATAATAACAAATACAAGTAACCAAGGATTTAATTTTAGTCCAACACTAGTTTTGATAGTTATTGAACTAGTATGTGCTGGTATATTGGGCATTTCGTACACTGACATTTACCACCCGGTATCAATAAAAATCAAGGTCTGTCATACCGAAGCATACCGCCCGGTACCGGTCCGACAAGTTACCGGTACGCGGATCGCCCGGTACCGCTACAGTGCTACAGTATGAAAAAATATAAAATTGTTCGGTACATCAGGGTGTATCGCTCGGTACGCCCTGATGTACCACCCGGTACACTGGTACCGTACCATACCAAGCCCGGGTCGAAACGCCGGTATGATACGGTACGACGAACCTTGATAAAAATAATAATAAAATATCAAACATTACCAATAGTATATCATTATTTGGGATCAGGTTTCTGAGAACATAATTTAAGACAATCATCATGTCTTGGGTGTTATGCATCATTCTAACTAATCCCAATCTGATCAGAATAAGCTGATACTTAAAACTATGGCTGCGGTGTTGTTCACAAAATTCTTAAGCAAAGAGGAGAACATTGGAATCTAGTAACAACAATAATCCCACTTAATAATGTATGGGCTGAAAAAAATTCTTGAGGCTTATAACCTACTAGCTTGAAGTTTTGAGGAGTTGTATTGTTCAATTGCAAAACTGGTACATATTGATGTTCTGCCAATTTGATTCACTCACTATAGAGAAACAGTGTCAATAGTGGGAAAACTAGATCAATTAGACCAGAGCAAGTGATCTTGCAGGATCCATTTCATGGTTAGAGAAATGACAGAATTTCAACCATGAGAAATGAGCTTAAACTTGGCCAGTGAGATCTACAATTAGAAGGATTAATTTCAATTAGAAATCTGTTCGGCCATTAAAAGATCTAAGCAACAGTATAATAACATGCTTCTCAAGTAATCCCTGTCATGTCATATAGGAGGTGTACCATTCATTTGTCTATAAAGGCTGATCTAAATCACACCAACAAAATGGCCATAAGTTGTGCATTTCTTATGAGATCAACATGATCAAGTTGATAATCTTTCTCAAAAGAAAGAACTCCAAAGATTTTCCTTTTTCATTTACATACTTAAGGAAAGCTAAAATACCTACAGCTTGGAATACTAAACTGGAAGCAAATGCAGGAGATGATGGCCCTTAAGAAAAGGAAAATGGATGGGAAACAGCAATTTTTGGGTATGTATAATCCAGAAATTTTATATTTATGCAGTGAGTGATTTTACTTCTAGCTGATCTTGCTTTCTAGCAACTTGTATCATCTCTCTCCAAGAGAGTTGACTTAGCTGCTCATAAAGTTCATTTACGAGAAATAACGTTTGCATTAAGTGACCAGAGGCATGTTTCTATACTGAATTCGCTGTATCCAGCAAGAAACAGGAGAACAAAAGTTGGTGAGCCAGATCAAATTCTTGATGTGCAGTCAAATCTACAACAACAATAAATCATTTTCTTGGAAATGCAGTTGCAAATGGTATGGCATGTTAGACCATGATCAGAGTAACACAACAGTGGTAGATATCTTTATGTAGATTTTAATTTGGTACATAATTCCAACAAATGTCCACAACAATCCTCAGTAGAAATTTTTTGGAGAATTGAGATAACAGCATGGCACAGTGTCTGAAACATTTTTCTTTCACAAAAGTTGATGCTAAAGGTGTGCCAAAAAAAAGTTGGATTATTGTTACAGGCTGATTACAGGTTTTTCTTTATGACATGCTGTTGTATAGAAGACAAGAGAAAAGAATCTACCAAGAAAAATAAGTCAAATAATAATACAGGGCTATGTTGCTTCTTGGAAGTACCATGGATCACCTTCACATATATTTCTTTCTCTTGGAAAAAAGTGTCATCTCAGCTGTTCTTTCCATTGAACTAATCCCATAATGATGTTCAGGAAACAACTTCTGTCATGCTAATATACCCAGAAGGCTTTGATTTTATCATACTTATATCTCTTATTATTCTATGATGTATATGTTTCAACCTAATCATATACCAATTGCCTCACCTTGTCGTTTATTTTTCAGATTAATAACAGAAACAAGAGAGTAAAACGCCCAGAGAACAGGGCAATGAACAGTTCTGAGGTAATCTTTCGAAAAGCTCTGAATTAGGGAATGGACTAGATCGCCATCAGCAACATAATCAACAATGGTGACATGAAAAAACCCCTTCTGGAACAAAGTACAGTGCACCTAATAAGAGGGGCAACGAAAAAGAGACTACCTTGAGTTTGCTCTGGCGCTGGTTTAGCAATTTCGCAGCACCAAGCAACATCGCCACGTGAGCGTCGTGCCCGCACGCATGCATCACCCCATCATTCTTGCTCTTGTGCTCCCAATCCACCAATTCCTATTCCCACGGACACAAAGGCGACAACTTCGTGAAAAACCCCGATTTTTCACCAAGAAATGCCGTCGTTGCAATAGGATTCCAAGATCAAAACGAAGGAGACGGTTTCTAGGTACCTGGAGGGGGAGGGCATCCATATCGGCACGAAGGGCGATGACGGGGGGCTCGCCGGAGCCGACCTGGGCGACGACGCCGGTACCGGCGTAAGGGAAGGAGTATGGGACCCCGAGGCGGTCGAGTTGGGCGCGGATGAGGGCGCTGGTGTTGTGCTCCTGGAATCGGAGCTCCGGGTGCTCGTGGATGCGCCGCCGGACGGAGACCAGCCATTCCTTGTCCTCGTTCGCAGAACGCAGCAGCTCCTCCGCATCGTAGTCAGGAGTAGAGGAAGTGAGGGGCGTGAGAGACAACAAGAGGATTAGGATCGGGAGAAGGAGATCGGGATGGGGAAGAGAGCCCATTGACTGGAGAACGAAGAGCAGTGGTGCGAGACACGCACGAGATAACTATTGGGAGATAACTGTTTTTTTTATTTCTAATCTTAAAATTGAGTGGTGTGTTAATATTTAAATGTCAAATACCGTATAATCCGAGTTAGAACTCAGTAACGTCACGTAATGTCGAACCGACTCGGTTTTGAGACTTAGCTCGGGTCACGGACACTAACGCCGTTAACCGACCCCTTTTTTGTCGTGCTCTCTCTCTCCCCCTCCCGTCGCCCGCGGTGTTCTAAAAATCTCATCGCACCGCCCCCTTCCGGATAAGAAGAGAAAGCCATCTCCATGATGATGGGGCACGACTGGACGAAGACGGTGAAGAAGTCGATCCTCCAGGAGATCCAGCGGTACTACTCGCGGGCGACCCTTGACTTCTACATCAACAAGAAGATCCTGGTGGAGTTGGCCATCGACCCGTCGAGGCGGCTCCGCAACTAGATCACGGGGTTCACCACCGATGTCATGCGCCAGATCCAGGGGGCCCTATGCGCGGCATCTTTCTCAATTTCCAGTCGGAGGAGCGCGAGCGCCGCATGGACATCGTTCCTGATGAGTCGCCGATCAAGGTCGAACACATCGTGGTCAACAAGGAGACCTTCTACATGCTCGCGTCTCTCACCATGGCCGACCTCCCCGGCGTCGATAGCGGGCTGGTGCCCCCACCCCGCCCATTTCCTCCTCTCAGTGAGCTCGCTTTCCCTGTATCTTCACGGTTGCAGAGTCCCTATTGGCGTGCCATTTAGAAGTTCGAATATTTTGGTCTTACTGGTTCGACAGTTGCCTCACACGTTTCCTTTTAAGCTTTTAATCTAGCGCTGGACTTAGGACGCTAAAAATGTACTATTTTGATGAATGTTTCGATTAGTTTGCAATTTTAAATATCTGGTAATTTCTGGAATCTTTATATTTGTACTTCTTATCTTGTTTTCGTTTGTTTATGATGATTGTGTTGTTTTCTAATGCTAATTGTATAAACTGCAGTTAAGAGAATTTCTTATTCAAACGGAGACACATTTTGAAGTTGGGTAAACGTTTTAATTCAGATATCACACTGCGTTTGATCTTTCTGATTCATTTTGTGCTGATTTGTATTTACATTTTTCAATTATTATTTAGAATGAAATTGGTTCGTGCATTTTTTGGATAATGATTGAGTAGGAGAAGCTGATTTGAAGTTATCTTTATCTCTGAGTATCCAACAAGTAGATGTAATGTTTTTATACATTAGTTCTTGTTTTCCAAGCTGCTGCTTGTTGCCTTGGCACTTCGGGTGGTAATGAACTACTATGTTGCTGTCTCTGTCTGTAGATTAATGTTTCCGAGCATTATACATCGTGAGTTCTTCTTAATGCTCTTAACTCATCCTATGAGTTTAAGGCGTGTAGAACTGTTATTTTCTTAAAAATAACATAGTCATTTCATCAGTTTTTGCATGTTGTCAAAATTATCTGCTAAGTAAAACTTCTTGGGCTTTTATCTTGATGCCTTAGGCTATGCCTTGGTTTCAAGGCTAATCCTGGGGATCACCTTTCACTTGTTGATAAATTTTTACATCATTTTTTATTTTATGAATTCTAGTGGAAACATTTCTTTTGGAAGTTCATCTCCTTATCATCCCTGACAATTCTTGAATGTGTGTGTGTATATATATAAGTAGTGTGGTCATTTTGGAAACCATTATGTTGAGGCTCTATGATATGAATTAGTATCATCAGTTTGGTATTTTCGTGGAAGTATTTTGTAAAATTTGATCACTTGGTCACATTGATAACCAGTGGAAGGTGATTTGAAGTTCTTGCATCAATTTGGCAATTTCATTCTCATATTCATTTATCTTCTGTGCCTAAATTTGTCATGCTTGGTTGATATCTGGAGAAATTGAAACATTATTTATGTGTTTTGGGGTGTTGAGTGAGAGCAATGCCTTAACAAAAGTTGCTATTTAGAATTACATGTTCAGGTCAAAATGAGTTGTCTGGAAATGATTTCCTAGAACTTGAATTCCTTTCAGCTAACACTGTAGGAAGAGTTTAAAGTGAATCATAAGAGCATCATCCCCTCAGGGCTATTGTAAAGGGTATGAATATGATGTCTCTGTCAGTGGGTTAAAATGTTTGATGTCATATGGAAGTGATGTCTGTTATTCTTTGATGTCACAAGTAAATGGTCTGATAGTATGCAGTTATGTATCAATTTCAGGCTCTTCAGTATCTATGCAACATTTTCTTTTTCTATGTTTTAGGTAAGCATGAAAAAAAAACTTGGCACATCACAAAAGTATTCGATGAGTTTTCTCTATCCTCCCTATGATGCATATGATACAACTGTAAGACATTGGTAGAAGACATCATGCTGGGTAGCTAAAATAGTTGTCTCTGTTCTTAATTATCAATTTCAGAAACCTCCACTGTAGTTGGCAACAATTTGCTTTAACCTCTCTATGATGCACTGATGTCAGACAAACATCATGAGCAGTGGTCTCTATTCTTTAGGATGGATCAACTTGGTATCAGTAACAAAGTTACTGCTACCAAGCTCTCTCTAGGATGGATTTGGGCATCCATCCTATAGTATTATCCTTGATCTTTCTTAGGTGCCAGCACATATTCCAGTGATGTCAGTGAATGGGTTCTGATACAAGTTTGCCAACCCTTTCAGTATATGATTATTAAATCTGTGTTGGATTCATGTATCATTTACAGTCAACATGAGCTGATACAGATATAGATGGAATTACCTGACATTTGATGCTGTAGTGGCCACTGAGTGGAAAAAATTCATAATACATATAACATATGTTGTGCAATGTTATTCAAAGCATATCAATCATTTACTTAAAAACTACTTTATTTACCCTTTTACTGTTCTATAGGTTAAAAAAAAAAGAATGAATTGATAAGAACAATTAACCAACAGTGGAGTTGAAAACATATTCTTGTTCTTCCCAAATCAGGCATAGTTTTATGCAGCATTGCAATAACAAGTTCATATCAAAATGCTGTAGTCTTATTGGTGATTCAGAATAATCTACTTGTACATCATCTTGGTAGGAAATTGTTTTCATTGTTATATATGGGGCAAATTCATGGCTCTTTTATTGACTCTTCTTTTTGACATATCAAGCTGTGAGTAGAAGAATTATTGTTCTCCCAACCTCTTAACTGCCTTTTTCCCACTCTCCCTACTCGACTTCCAACTCTTTTTTGGTGCTATCTTTGCTCTTCTCCTGCTGCTGCTTCTTCTCATCCTTTTCCTTCTTCTTCTTCTTCTTCTCATCTTTTTCTTTTTTCTTCTTTTCCTTCTTCTCCTCCTTGTCTTTGCCCTCCTCCTTCCCGTGCTTCTCATGTTCATCATCGTCATCATCATCCTCGTCATCTTCCTCGTCCTGTGAGTACTCTGATATGACCAGATGGACACCTGGATCCTCCGCGGAGCAGCTCCCACCAAGAACAATCGAGTTGTTCACGGCCTGGAAGTTGCTGTTGGCGTGGGTGCACAAGCCGCTGTCGTCGTCATACACCCCCCCATGGGTGTCCATCAATTCCTCCATGTCCGCCTTCATGGACGCTCCCTTGTTGTCGCCGGCCAGCGTGACGACCCTGAGGCCGTGGTCGGCGGCGGCACCGGCCTCCTGGCTCTTTGCTTCGGAGCGCGCCGTGGACCGACCGAGCGCCATCAGGCGATTGGTGAGCGTCGAGATCATGTCTCTGACCTCGTGCTGCATGTTGCGCTGGTGGTTCTCGCCGTTGCTGCCGCTGGCGACCATGGCGATCGGCTCGGCTGGCTGTGGGAGGAAGAAACATAGAGGAGGGTTTTATATAGTGGTTTGTGCGAACGGAATGAGTTCTTAGCTTGGGAAAGTTCTCTGGGATTGCATGCAAGCCAAGGAATGCACTAAAGAAATTCCAGACATAGGAGTGAAGGCAAAGATATTCTTGGATCGGTGCCTGTAGCACAATTTAGATTCTCTTCAGGACTTGAAAGGAGAGAGGGGCTTAAGTAGACGAATGAGACCTTTCGTGGCTACGAGAAATTTTGTGAGAACCTTGCAGCAAGTTGAGGCTCGTGGGCTTGACTCGACTCAAATTTAGATTATTTCATGTGCTCTTTTGACCGCGTCAAACAATGCAGGGAAGTTGATTCCTGCTCGGGCAACAACTTAAAAGTGTCGGGAAAAACGGAATAATTATTTTTACTTTTGTATATCTTCCTCATCAAAATATTAATTTATTATCAAAAATAAATACTACCCACAGCAATAAATCAATCATAAAGTAGTGAGATAATATATTTTTATGCAAAAAATTTAATATAAAAAAATTGATGAGATCATAGTCCACTTTAAATCTTCACTATTGCCGATAATGATAATAAATTTATAATAAATCTTTTTCAAGTAATTAAGGATCATAATAACATCGAAAACATAAATTTTAATTTAAAAATATATATTTAAATTTCACTAAGTTGGTATATCAGAAAAATATTTTAGAGGGGATAAATTATAAATCAACGGTACCGATTGTAAAGCTTTTTTAATGATTCTTTACATAAAATTTTGGCTAAATCGATGAAATTTAACCGCTTGATTGCCTAGCAAAAACCTTAAAACACTAATTTTCTCTCTGTCTGTACCGATTTTTTTTTTTTTCCCTTCGACCACCTCTGCGAACGACCTCAATTTTTTTAGTAATTGATCAGACTCGATGCCCTTATTATCCAGTCGAAGCCCGTGGGCCGGACCCAACAAGCAGTGATCGCTGATCTGGCACGGATCCAAAAGAGAGGAGAGGGGGTGTCCGCATATGTCGTAACTGTGGGGAGTGACACGTCCAATTGTGGAATTCCGGGAAGTTTCCCGAACGTCGAAGTCAAACTCTCCGGCGACCCGGTCGGCATCTCATGCCCAATTGAAATAGATCAAGAAGTGACAAGAAACAAAGAAGACATCGAGAGAAGATGGAAGCAGTGAAGAGCCTCGATGAAATGCCGAGCGACGTCGTCTCCAAGGTGCTCGCCTTCACCACCCCCGCCGACGCCGGCAGATCATCGGCCGTCTCCCGTCTCTTCCGAGCAGCTTCGTCGTCGGACGAGCTGTGGAAGCGGTTCCTGCCGTCCAATATCGATGAGATCCTACCACGGGCGGTGGCTCCCATCGAGTTCTCCTCCAAGAAGGAGCTCTTTTCCCGCCTCTGCGATCCCATCCTCATCGACGGCGGCAACAAGGTAATCGTCTCTCTGTAAGATACGTTGGTGTAGCGTACGCATGTGCAGGAAATTGGTTAGATCTTGTTACCCGCGACGAGTCCCTAGGGAGATCACAGATTGGCATGGACGTTGGAATTGCAGAGCTTTGCACTGGAGAGGTCAACTGGCAGGAACTGCTTGATGGTATCCTCTAGAGATCTATGGATTACTTGGGGCGGTGACAACAGATACTGGACCTTCACTTCCGATTATGAATCGAGGTGTGTTCTGATATCCTGCAATTGTGCTTTTACTTCCACGTTGCCTTCGCTTCGCTTCCCTTCCCTTCCAAATCATGGGCAACTTCAACAGAGCAAATGTTTGGCCCCCTTGTTTATGTCCTCTCGTCTTTGTGTCACAGGTTTGCGGAGGTGGCTCAGCTCATGCAAGTCTGTTGGTTAGATCTTGGTGGCGAAATCAGAAGTACCATGCTATCTCCTAAAACATGTTATGCTGCCTACTTCATCTTTCAGCTGCAGGAAAATTCGGGAGGATTTCAATCCCCGGTGCAAGAAGCATCGATTAGTATTGGAGCTCATGTATCTGAAACCAGAGTAATCCTGAAACCAGGGAGACGTAGGACTACCGATCCAACCACACAAATCCCCCGTGCCAGAGATGACGGATGGATGGAGATCGAAATGGGAGAGTTCCTCAATGATGATTACGAAGAAAGTGTCCGCTTCAGGTTCCGTCAGGTGACGGAGATGAACTGGAAGTGGGGACTCATCGTTCAAGGCATCGAGTTTAGGCCTAAGAACTGACTACGGATTGTCGCTCTTCCTTGATGATGTGCTCGACGAAATAAATAAAATCTTGTGTGCCTCTCTCTCTCTCTCTCTCTCTCTCTCTCTCTCTCTCTCTCTCTCTCTATATATATATATATATATATATATATATATATATATATGCATGGAGAACAATTGTGAGGTTACTAGTGTATAGAAAATAAAGATTTTGAAAAGTAATATGATGTGATGAAATAAAAATAAAAATCATAGGCAAGAATAGTATTTGAGAACTCATTGAATTGTCCCGTCAAAGGGTTAGTTGTAAATAGATCTCTAAGATAAAACGTGACTTAATGAACAATATTGAACGATATAAAGTCAGACTTGTGATCAAAGATTTTTCTAAAAAAAAGACATCAACTATAATGTGATTTTTTCTCTAATTTCTAAAAAGGATTTGTTAAAGATCATTATGGTATTAGTATCTTATTATAATCTTGAGTTATATTAGATGGATATGAAAATAATATTTTAGAATGGAGATATAGATGATAAAATCTATATGAAAATTGAACTTGTAAACTTAGAAAATGTATTTATATATAAAGTTTTCAAAGATTTAGAAAATCTAAACAAGCTTTCAAAGATTAGTGAAAATTTATATATAAAGTTTTATAATACTATTACTTCTTTCAAATTTTTTTAAAAAAATTATTGATTAATACATATATCTAAAAGTTATTGATAGCAAGTTTATTATATTAATCTTACGTGTGAATGATATTTTGCTTGCTAATAACAATCTTAGTTTAGTGCATAAAACCAAGATATTTCTCATCAAGAATTTTAAAATAGTTGATATAAATAAGATAACCTATGTTATTAATATTAAGATATTCAAGAATAGATGTCAGGAATTACTAGGACTATCTTAAAACAGATATATTAATTGAATCTTGAAGAAATTTAGTATGCAGCTTTTCTTTCCCTTGTTTAAGACTTTTATCTCTATAGAATATCGGAGAACTAATACCATTTTTATATAATAGTATTGTTACTTTTGTGTATATAACATTAAGCTACAATGATATCGAAAAACAATAACATCATATCCCATCACATAATTATTTGAAGTAGATTCTCTTTTAAGATTATCTAAATCTCCTAATTATATATGTAATTATGAATATTATTTTTTTAAATATCATTTAGGACTAATTTCTTAATATAATTTTATAAGTTATTAGTCTAGACTACTTTGATAGCTAAAAAACTAATATAGTAATATAAAATACAAATTACCTACAAATGATAATATTTATTATAATTTATATCTTATAAGTTTATCTGGTAGTTACTAGTTATATAAAACTCAGAGATATAAGTTATAAATAATATTCACTAAGTATGCTTTAATCTAATTTATGTTAAAATAATTCAATAATAACAAAATAATAATCATGATAATTATTAAATATTAATCTACATAAATTAAAACCTATATGATAATTGTAATCATAATAAAATATAAATCATGTCTTTATGTAAAGAATAAATATAATTTCATAATCTTAAAGATATACATCTAAATAACTAAACAAATACCTAAAAACAATAATTGGAGTTTAATTATCACATGCAAAAACATGTCATATGAGAAAACTATAAAAGAATATCATAATTTATATATTTTTTAATAATACTGCATGAAATCCTGAATTAGACCGATCAATCCTATTTAATTAGGTAAGCCTAGAATTGGGTTAAAAGTAGTCCAATTAAGTAAGTTAAAAAAATCAAAATTTTGACTGTTTTCAAATTCTATCAAAACTTAATTAATCAAATCTAAATCCAATCAAACAATCAAAATACTAGATTCAATCAAAATATTTGATTAATAATAAATCATATTGATCAATTTTATAATTAAGGACACAAAGTAGAAATTCTCAATTTCTTAGGGTTAAAACTATAATTTTATAAGATATAAAATTAGAATTAATAAAATTTATAAGGGTAAAACCATAATTTTGAAATTCAAACCCTATTTCTCTTTCTATAGTTGCTGTCAGTGCGCTCGCTACGGTGTGCAATAATCGTTTATGTGTTTGTCGCATTATGTGATCGTCGCTTGTGCACCGCATGTTGCCACCTATAGTGGCAACATTACTTATCGCATGTGTGGTGTTGTGTCGTCAGTGCCCATGCACAGTTGTATGCACACGCTGCTTAGTGGCCCCACCATTGTCGTGATGCGACTATGCACACGCTTCTACTCAATATAACCATTGGGCTTTGGTGTCCAATAACAAGGCCCGCGACCAGCAGATGCCACCGCAACAACATTGTCGCAACCGTCGCAACGGCACTACTGCAATCATTGTAACTGCCATCGACAGCGACACTATTGTAGTCATCGTAGCTGCCACTAGCAACGGTGCTACTACAACGATCATATGCAATGGCGATATTGCATCCAATATACCCACCATAGGGCTATCGCACTCCACGGTGATTTCGTTGCATAACCAACTATTGCCCACGATTGGGCTGATGATCATCGAAGACCGTCACCCTCAATAATACCATCGTGGTCCATTAATCAAATCCAAGAAACCTTGCATCACCCGCAAGTAGGAAATATGATGGATTAAATAGAAAGATAGATCAACAATATACACAAATCATTGAAGCGTTATAAATCAAAACCAAATGATACATTTTCACAAGTGAATGGTGCTAATAAATAGATCTAAAGTGTTTGATTTTAAAAAATTTGGCTCCATACTACTTGTAAACATAAAAAACATAATATGTTATTGTTATATGAAAAACTTTAATGTCAGATTTGAAATCAAATAGTAATAAATCATATTTATTTGATATGTAAGGACATTGTGGGTCCAAAACCCAAAGTGATGTACATATGCAATGAGAACTAAATTCGCCTTTTCTCCTATCTTTTAAAGGATCATTATTAGCGCTAGATTAGGGAAAAAAAAAGATAATAAAAGATATAAAATTTCTCAATGATTAACTTACGTAATTAAAAACAGCTGAGAGAAGATCTATAATCTTTCAATAATATAATGTATCCACACATTTGCTCTTCTATTTATAAACAAGAGCAAAAAATTTAAAATAAATGATTACGAGAGTTTCTCCGGTCAATATCATTTTCTAAGAAATTTTATTATAATTAAACTATTTTATTAGTTGATAATTATCAATAGAATTAAAATTTTTAATTAACTGATAACTATCATCAAAATTTAATCAAATCTATAATATATCTTAATTAAATATATTTAACGGATGCCAATTTTGAGTCACACTTTTTACGTTCAACATTTGTCCATGTTGTGTTCCACACACGTAACACGACCAACAAAAAGAACTGTTGATATTTGCTTTCATATCAGTGACCACCTCCGAACCCGGCCTCGGCACGCCACCAAGTCCTACTCCTCCACCACCACCACCAGACCCTCCACCAAAGCCTCCGCCAAACCCAACACCTGCACCAAACCCTCCACCAGCCCCGAATCCAACCCCGAACCCGCCGCCGCCGCTTCCAAGGCCCCCGCCAACTCCCACTCCACCACCGAAGCCACGTCCCGTTGCTCCACCACCAATCCCTCCTCCAGCTCCGGCACCTCCTCCAAGTGCACCCCCGGATTCACCGCCAGTGCTTCCTTCAGCTCCACCTCCAATTCCACCAATGCCTCCGAGCCCTCCGCCATCGCCAAGACCACCACCTCCACCAAGCCCACCGCCGGCTCCACCACCAAGGCCACAAGCTCCTCCACCGAGTCCACCTCCGGCTTCACCGTCAAAACCACCACTTAAGCCTCCACCACTTCCAAGCCTCCCATGACCAAACTCATGCCTAAACCCCTTGCTGTAGATATCATGGCCGAGGCCACCCTCGTAGCCATGCCGACGGCCATAGAAGTTCTTCTCATCACCCACACCACTGGCTTCGGTAGTGGCTTCATAAACCAAGGAAACAAGGAGTAATGCAACAATGGTCACAAGCCATCGAGCCGCCCCACCAGAGACTCTCATTGCACAACAACAACAACAAATTAAGGACCCCCGACTAGGAAAAGGTTGTTCTCGCACTGAGTTAGAGCTGGCGAGAGTTATATAGAGATAGAAGAGACGGTAAGAGTTGGTACCTTTTACTGCAACCCATCAGCCACCCGACTACAGTAAATGCGACCTCACACTTAGAGGCTAATATATATTACTTACTGTTACGGAGCTTGGTCTCAACAAGGTGGGAGAGAGAGAGAGAGAGAGGAAAAACTGTGGCCATGGTTTTGACTTTGGTCTGACAAATGAGACCACAGGACGCCGGAAGTCAAACCATACCCGGCAGTGCAAGTTGAATGGCGTCTCGGATGGTACAGAAACTGATCTCCGAATGCCAATGATATCCGGGTGCACTTAACTCTCTCTCTCTCTCCTCTTATTCTTCTCCTATTCTTGGGCAACCATGTCTTACCATATCTGTTCCGGTCTTCTTATTGTCCTATTGAGCAAGCATATCTTATCATGTGTGTTCGTGAGAGGTAACCAATGCCCTGAGAGGATTGTTCAGACCCATTTGCATACAATCTCACATCGAGGGGGAATATGCACCAGTTATAGAATGTGATGGTTCTTTGCTTATTCTACTAATGCTGCAGGTCCGGGGCATACTGTCCAATCCAAACAAGGACTCCTGATGGCTGCTGGCTGTGCTAGCTGCAACGTTCAAAACCCGAAACAAGCTGAAGGTAGAGCATATTACTGGATGCGCCTAGCAGAGCTAAAGCTCGAGGATGGAATTACATATTGACATGTACACGCTCTCTGGAATGGATAAATCTTGTTAATGATATGTGTCCGGCGTTAAGGAGTTTCCATGGAGACATTCTATTGCTGGCCAAGGTGGTCTGCGTTGTTCGTTTCCAACATACACCGCTAACCATCTTGGACTCTAATGAAGTCATTTTCCTAAAAAAAAAAAAAGAAGCCAAAATGGCAAAGATAACCTATATATAAGTTTGAGCAGAATGAAAATGTCAGAAAATATGACATCCTATGAATGCTTCAAGGCATCCATTGTAGCATACAACATAAAAGATCAAATGTAAAGTCCTCGAACAGAACAGCACCTGTCGTCCGAATTAACTCCAACATCTCACTGCAACTCCAATTTCAGGTTCCCAGCACCTCTGTGAATTGACCACGTTAAGAGAATCGAATCTTTAGAAGTACTCACAAAGCATCTTGTGAGTACTCACAATTTCAGGTTCCCAACACCTCTGTGAATTTACTCTGCTGCGAACAAATCTTTAGAAGTACTCACAAGGCATCTTGAGGAATATCATATCTGCTTCTGTTACTATCAACACAACTGAAGAAGTCAAACTCTGCAACCAGTCTCTTGACACAGGCGCATGAACAAGTATTCCTTAAATCAAATCACTCTGCAACAGATGTGAGACCCGTAATAAACAAGCAATCTCCATGATGTCCATTATGTCATCCAAATGTGGGTTCATCTGAATCAAACTTGGTTGAAGATTTTCACGGGACCAAAAAAGTTTGATGTTCCAAGTCTGAGTCCCCATATTATACACATCTTTGAAGGCTATTATATGGAAAAAAACGAGAATGAAGTAAAAGAACCAAATATTGTGCTCTCTTCTGTACCCTCTCCGATCTGGCTCCCTAGATGAGAGAAGTTGCATCTTTCACACAAAGGGACATAATTGAAACCCACAAAAGACCATCGGCCTCTTACTTTATTGTGCTTACACTGCAGATGAAACGAAGGCCATATATAAACATGATAAATGAAGAGCACCATACGACCATCATCTCTTTCAGCATTTCTTTTTCCTTCCCTGCTCCAAATTTAACAAAGTGTCATGAACAGGGTTTAACTGCTACCATTATTTCCAAATTTTAACAGATTTGTCATGGCTAGCAGATGCAATCATTCCAGTTGAGTGTGATTGTGCCAAAGCTGCAATAACGCCTTCATGTGCTGGGACTGAAATGGTCTGGTTCTCAATCACGTTCCACAACTCCAGCGACTGCATAAATCGGAAGAGAAATAAGCAAGCAATGGAACCCATATACAAGCTGTTTGTCCTTTCAATTAAGAGAAACCACTTAAATTGTATTCATTTGCCGAATACTGAGAAAGTATCCACACTAGATAAGATTTCTCAACATTTGAAACCTTAGAAAACATATGGTGGAAGTTTGTAACCGAAGGTGACATTTTGTTGATGGTGAGCAGAGATTTCTACTAAGTTTTCTAACAATTCCAATCTTCATAGAGGCAAAATACACTTGTTGGATCAATAAATTAGAAAGCAAGCAGGATGAGGTTTAAAAGGCAGCTATATAAAGTAGCCATAAGCAGTGTTCTGCAACAGCATTAAAACTTTCAGGTTCTTTTGTTATTAGATGGTCAAAATATTTTTCTCAGAAGCAAAATTCCATAATGGTTGTTTAAGGTTCTAATTAAGACTTTTATAAACTCTAAATGGTTAAACAGCTTCCGGAGAATGCATGATAAACAAGGACTTCATTAGGATAGTGTCTGACAGGAGCCTATTCATATAGCCTCTAGCAGTTTGCTTGCTAATTGGCTACCATGCATATTTGTAAACAGATCTTGATATCAAAATTCAATACAAAGTGGTAAAAGCAGATTACTTAACTATTAGAAAAAGATAATAATGCAATGTTTGTACACCTTTCATGTATGGCATGCAAACTACCTAGACAACATTATATGATTAAGATAGACACATTTACCTGATAGCCTCCGATAATCAAAATTTGGGGGAATCTTGGGTGGAAGATACATGAATGGAACGGATTACCATTGGAGTTTAGTTCATGGATACAATCCCAGGTATGCAAAGACCATATTTTAACTAGGTCCTGACTAACAGAAGCAAGAGTATTGCCATTTGCATCCCAGCAAATAGAATGTACCTCCTTCTTATGGCCCTGTACTTCATAAAGATAGATTGTCAAACAATGAAAGGAAACATTGATCCAAGTATTCTAGAAGTTAAGAAGTTTGCCCAAAATGACCTGTAATGTGCGTGTAGGTGTATGTGTTTCAACATCAAAAATAGAAATCACATTTTCTGCAGCTGCAGCCAAAAATTGTCCACTTCTAGGCTGAAATCTTACCTGTACCGTAGCACCCTGGTTCACCAAAAAAAGATTCCAAAACTTGAACTTTGTGATTAACCAAGAAAATAAATAAAGATGTTATGAAACTAACCTTAGAAACACGGGTACATAAATACTGGTTGGCATTCCAGTACCTAATCTCACCATTGTCATCACAAGAGCAGAAGATATCCATCTCTTTAGGATGAAAATCAAGTGATGTTACATGTGAGCCGTGTCCCGTGAAAGTATTTAGACAATGAATTGACTACAATAGAAACAAGGGAACATAATAAGCATAAAAAGAATAATAAAAGTAACCATAACATCTAAACAGAACTAACATATGAATGGCTCTAAGCTTACAGTTTTTAAAATGGGATATGGCTAGAAATGAAGAAAGCTTAAGAGATGTTAAATTAAGTGAAAAGTTTAGTGAAAAAAAATGAAACAAACATTAAGTGAAAAAGTTAAGAGATGTTAAATTGATGTGACTTAACAATTAATAGTCAGAACAAAGGAAAGATCAAACTTGGAAAATGCAGACAGATTTATAACAGAATGGTTGGAACTTAGAAGAACAAGGGCATGACCTAAAAAGATGTTAAAAATCGGACTTTTAGATCTTACTAAACAAGCTTTTAGAAATAATTTGAGGTCACAAAATTTGATATGATTTAGTACATTGTATTTTGTAGTTATATCTCAGCAATAATTAGCAACTATAAACAACTAACAACCTACAATGTAAGTAAAGGTGTTAAAAAAACCATACTTCAGCTGCATTCCATATTCGAACAGTTTTATCAAAGGATGATGTTGCCAGCTGACTTGAGTTTGGCTGAAAACAGACATCTGTAATGATATGAGAGTGCTCTTGGGAACTGCTCACAGTTTGCAGTGTATCCATGTTCCAGATAACAACCTATCAGATAGAACATTAGATGGTAAGAACCCGATTTTTTCTAGATAAACAATTGCAAAATAAACCATGGCAGTTAAGTTTGTTATTAATATCCAACATGGATACAAATGGAAGAATCAGCAAACAGAAGAACACCATTGTAACCAAAGCAAAGAAACCCTACTTGTACATGAAGAACAAACAGAAGAGTTTCTTATATGAAATTCAGAAAATCCTTTGTTACAGTTAGCTAGAAGCTTAATATCTCCCAAATATGACACACTTCCGTTTTCCTCATATCTCTCAACAGAATAAGTACAGATTTACTTATTTCATTTACCAGATTTACTTCTTTCTTTAGAATCAAGTGAGATAACATATGATTGTCCAAGGTTCGCCGTGTCGTGACGTACCACCCGGTATGGGTGGTATGTACCTCTGACAGGGGACTGGTATAGCTGGTACTTACTAGTTTATTAGTACGCCCCACCGTACCAGGCATTAATACGTCGGTATGGTTCAGTATGTACTATACCAATGGCCGGTTGGTGCATTGGTATAGACCGATAAAACAAACCATGTGGTTGTCTATTTTTCGAATTCAATGGCTCAGTACTGGTACAATACCATCATGCCAAAATGCATATGATGGCCACTTAATGATGAGTTCAACAGTAGCATTTTACTTTCTACTGTACATTGCAGAAAATTTTATTTAGAAGACAGCTAATGGACTATGCATAATCTTGGAGACAGGAATACTTGTTTAATATATTTTAACTAGTTGCAATATTAATAAGTCATTAACATGTGTTCCATATGATATAACTTTACGGAATAAATCAAGACTCCGTCAACATGTAAAATGCATATTCAGGTTTAAGATTTGCATACAGTTACTAGAAATGCCAGAACTTTAATTCTTGAAGTCAACCAGACTACTGCTACCACACAGGAGGCAAAGATGAACAAGAAAGGAGGGGGTAGAGAAGGGTGATAGCATGCATCAATTAGATGAGATGCATGCTTTCCCTTTAAACGAATAATGCACTCTTTCCTTTTTTTAATTTCTCAACAAGAAACAACATTTACAAATTCCTAGGCCATGGTTTTGAACTATCAACAGTTTTGATAAGTTGACCGTACAATGGGATGCTGACATGATCTCAACATGGAACCCTAAAGTTAGCTGACAACCAATAGACTTGTTTGTAAATATGTAATATTGGAGCACTACAAGTTTCCATGACAATTTTACTTTGGAATGGAATTATCTATCGTCAGTCATTTGGGAGAGTTTTTAAAGGCCAAAAATACCAGTGGAATTGGCTTTTACCATGGTAAAGAAATAGAGATCTTGGCTCTGCATTTTCTTCATTCATCTTTTCCCTTGTTACACATATCACATCTACCATAGACAATCAACAACCTCTATACGTTCCAATGTTCTGTCTATGATGGTAACACCACACAAGGATCTCATCAAAGAGATGTTCCGCTTCCCTACAAGCCGTTAGCAGTCAAATGAAGAAATGTTCAACCTCCGTACCAACTTATGATTTCTTAAGGCAAGATATCATTGTATTTTGCAACTGAATGAATTTTGGTTTCTCCAACTTCGTGACACTAGTGCTCCCTAGTACTCTCCTTTCATTGACAGTGATTTAAGGTGAAACCTGTGGATAACGGTGAATGAGTCGGCGACCAAACTACTATGTAGCAAGGACCACCAGATGAGGCAACACATACTGTTAGAATTATGGTCATTGTCAGGACCCCTTTCATCCCCTCCCATGAATTATAATTCTTAAATTCCTTCTTCATTCACCCAAATTACAATTACTGAAGGGGAAACAGATTCAAAATTTTCTGTGGAACTCTATTGTTGCAATCACTAAATACCTTGGTATTCTTTTCCCAAGAGTAGTTTCGCCCTTGTTGCTAAATAGTGCTTTAAATGCTATGTTGGCTCATGTCGGCACATTACCAACACAGGTGGCATGCCAAAAAGACATTTAAACTTTCCCATTTGCAGTTGCGCTCTTCAGTCCTTAATTGCTACAAGGACTTGCATACTTACAGCAACTAATGCTTTAATCCCACCGAAACTTCTCTTCAAAGCTACACAAGAGGATTGGAAGTTCAACTAAATGTTCACATGCAATACCACAGAATTGACATGCAATGCCAACTGTAATTTGTCTTATGAAAATATGAATCACTGAATTTACCCATCTACCTAGAAGGAGAACAAGGTTGCATCATTGCACCATTTATCTAGTTGAATGTCCAGTTTAATAATATTTTTATAGTAGTAGCAATGTTAGATGCTACTTAAACAATGCACAAACAATTATTATTCACCTAGTATGTAATCTCCTTCACAACTTAGCGACATGCTTAAACAGTCATAAGGAGAATAGGTACATAGTCAAGTAATATTTTGTTTACCCTTCAAATGCAGGCAAATAGTAGATAAATTTAAAATGTATGTTTTTCAATCAATTTAAGATTGACATAACACCTTCTATAAGTCACTGAGAAAGTTGTACAAGAATCATTTTCAAGCATCCTGACTGGCAACATCAAAACATTAAAGAATAGGAAATAGTTCGTGGATTTGTAACAGAAGTATGGTCTGATAAACATAACTCATTCTTGATTTTTCAAATAACAGATGCTAATTATGTAACATGGAACTTGATAACTATATTGGGTGGGAAAAAGTTACAGTACTTATGCAGCACCAACCTATACATCAAAGTTTAAACAAACAAATTCACAAATTTGCACTTTATACTTTACCATTTTATCATGCCCACCACTAGCGAGCATCTTCCCATCTGAAGAGAAGTGACAAGCAACTACCTTGCTGTTACTGGTACGTATGCAACCAAACTCATTAAACGTACCTAACAGGGAGATGCAGAACATGTTAATGGTTATTTGATAGGGATATGAAGGTGAATAACAGTTGGAAAAAGCAGGCACCATTCAAAGATTCCACATTGTGCTCGGCAGTACTTTTCAATGCAGCAAATATATCCCTTCCATCTCCATCATCATTTGAAAGGAAGGATTCAACATTGTCATCCAAAGAACCAACATCCCCAAAATTCTCCAGGTCATCCTACAATAAAAAATTCACATTATCTTAATTAGATGTTACTAAATCACTATCTTCCACTTTTCATGATAATAAAACTAAAAGAGTTGTGTTTGGGCATACCATCTGATTTGAAGAAGAAACAAGTCCACCTGCTCTATCGGTTCCATACATCATCAAACTTTTGGACATGGTGCTTGCATTTTGCAGGTTGCTAGCCATCGAAACTCCATCACCAGTTGTATGAATGGAAGGAGTTGATGGAGGAGAGTTAGCAGAACGTGCAACAGTATTTCCTGTACCAGTACTATTTGCAGCTCCAGAAGTACTAGGTTTTCTCTTCCTGGTATTCTAGGAGTTGTGGGCAAATTTTCAATATCAATCAGTTTGAATTTAGAAAGATGTATAAATTCTCAGAAAGAGGAGGGAAGGAAGACTGAGAAGAAAGGGACAGACGGAGAGGGGGAGAGAGATGAACTCTACATGAATACCTGTTGCAGTTGTTGTTCCTGCACCAGTTCATGTGTTTGTTGATTAGATGACTGCTGCATCTGGGTTGAGTTAAAAATTAAAAACAAGCGTTAGAGAAGCAGATAATGCTGTTTTTGCTAGGGAGGCGTATGTTACATATAGTAGCGTAGAGGTTAATGATAGATTAATTAGTCACATAAGCGCGCACATGAAGTTGGAAAACTGTAAACTCAAAGAAGGAATAAGGAACTATATCATTATGACAACTACCATCAAGCATCTCCTTACGGTTCCAAACATTGAGTAAAATGGCAAGTCAAGAATCTTAAAAATTAGTATTCAACATATAACATGACTTGTTACATACCCTAATTAATCAAGAATCTGTCATGAAACCGAACAGAAAATTTGCAGCTAAGGTTTCTAGTTCATTTTACAGTTTAGTGACATTTTATTCCCAAACATGTCAGAAGTTTTTGTTCAGAAGAAATTATGATCTCGTAGACACTAGCAAAAAGAGATAATTACAACACAGATATATACATGTTTGAGATAGAATGTAGATTTCAAATTACATCAATTAAATTCTTAAAATATGACAGCCAAAAAAGAAAGATCTGATAGCCTAATCATCGGACAAATATTATTGCATGGGTTCCTACAATTGTGCTTCAGAGTAAAAAATTGATAATCCTAAATTCTGCTAAATCAGTAATAGACATAACAGAGATGTTTGGAGCAGACACCACCTGTGCATTTTCTTCAGTATGTCTATTATAATGAAGTTAGGATGACGGGATGGCAGAGGCCATAAAATATTCTGCTTTTGTACTCTATATTTACATGTTTGTTTGGAGTGAGGAGATATTCCTGAATTTTGCTTAACGTTACATTTCCAAGCATAAGTCTATGTGACCTGGTAATAGATTGGTTTTGATGTTGGGGTAGAGTTGAATACATGTAAATGAGCATTTCCTGATCCTATTTAGAATCAAAAGTAGCTTGGTCTTTTATCAAATTTTGTTAAAATGGTATTGATGCAGGTAACACAAATCAAAGATTCCATCTGACAGTTCCACACACCTTGTGTAACTCAGTTTTCATATCTTAAAGGAACTCACTACTTGTTTAGTCTCACTATTTGTACCAAAGTTCTGCACTTCTGGTGCAGCAAGATTGCAGACAAATCACTAGCATATTAATGGAATATTCTATGAATGAAATTAGGATAATACCTACCATGAAATACAGCCTAAGTTCACATAATAATAATAATTATTATTTTGTGTGTGCTAGTGGTATCATTATGTGACGGTCCGCCAGATCAAAATCTTATGACTGCAACAAGTCCAAATAGGCCTAGACACAAGCCTGGTGTTTCTTATGTAAAATCACGTCTGATAATTGCTGCTAAGAGATCAGAGATTTCAGAATATTAAAATAATTAATTATTGTGAATTAGAAAATTAGAATACTGTAATCAAAAGTTTATTTAGTTGGCCAGTAGAGTGCCAACTAAATACCGGGATGGCAGAGGCAGTGCCAGTCAGGATCAATCCTATTACTAACCGTATCCAGTTAGCACAAAACAATGCCAACACTTCAAGAGCATCAATATATTCAATGAAACTATAAGTTTTAGCTAGAAGATTAAACCAAGTCAAGTATGGATCATATGACCTCAACATAATTACTTGTTGCTAAAGATATTCCCAATTTCCTATTAAACATATTTACTTGTTGCCAACTAAATACTGGGATGGCAGAGGCAGTGCCAGTCAGGATCAATCCTATACTAACCGTATCCAGTTAGCACAAAACAATGCCAACACTTCAAGAGCATCAATATATTCAATGAAACTATAAGTTTTAGCTAGAAGATTAAACAAAGTCAAGTATAGATCATATGACCTCAACAAAATCCATAACTTGATCCATGATACAATCAAAAAGTTCATAAGAGATTTTAATAGCATTCAGACTGGTTCGAAGATAGACATAAAAATCAATTTTCCATATATTTTTGCTAGCCCATCGGACATCTTTTGGACATTAGTATTATACTGTCATAAGACTTGCTTCTTTGCTCAACATCATGATTAAGATCCAACTATCTGTTTATGAGATACAAAACTTTAGATAAATCCACTAAAAATCCTCAAAATTGTATAGAAGTGACCTTAAAGTCTTAAACCTTAACAACATACAGCCATATTTCAGCATGTAAACTGTTAAATTTTTACTCCACAAACTCTGACTTCTTAGGACTTTGTCTCCACAAGTTCCTAATTTACTAGACCATTTCTTGCCAGAACAGTCATGGTATACAATATGTTACTACATTCAGCAGGCCTATGACTCTCCACACTACTTATCTTGCCTTTTATTCATCAAATAATAGTGACTGGTCTACGTAAACAATCAATTCAAATTATGACAAACAACTTGCCCATGAGTGAAATGAATAAATAGATCTTGAAAGTCGATGATGAGGAAGCTAACAAAGGTACCATGTAGAAGTAAACAGAAGGCTGAATGATATGTCACCTTCAGATATATGCAAGAGTGCAAGGTTCCAACCTCCCCAACATGCACACACAGAAAAATAAAAAAGAAAAAGAACAAACACAAAAGAAGAAAAAACACAAGGAAGCACCCAAAATGCAGCTTGAGTCTGCTCTTTGCAGTTTGTTGACCCATATCTACATTTGCAACCTAAGTTAAATTCAAACCTGTTCCACATCTTATCACTTTTTAAGGATAACATAACAGAACCAACCTTCATGAAAGCCTGATCCTGTCTGACCTTTGGCGAACTTGATTGACTAGGAGAACCAATTGATGCGTCATTTCCATTGAGTTGGCCATCTTTTCCACCAAGTTCACTCCTAGGCAAGGCTCGAAGCCGGCGCGGATCCATGCCATAGTTGGATGAATCAGTATTGCTTTGTGCCTGGGCCTGTGCTAAAATTTGCTGTTGGTGGTCTGGCGATAAAAGCTGAAACTGGCTCTGATTTGGTACAAACGGTTTGTTTACTTGTGAGCCAAAATTTTGGCGTAATTGGTCAATTCCCTATCAAATTGGTAAATCAGTACACAGGAAACATTGTCGAATAAAAGGAAAAAGTAAAGTTTTTTTTAAAAAAGAGCAATTGTTAATACCCTCAAAGGCCAGCCCTTTAGTGGAAGACCATTAACACCTTGGTTCATCCCTGCAAAATAGGAAAAGCAAGTGCAAGTAAATGCAAGTTGCAGATTTTAGATATTTGTTACCATGGAATCAAATTTCAGGTACTGGGCTTGTATTAATCCATGCCCCGCCCTGACCAGTACAGGTCCAACGTGTATGGCATATTGGCACATGGTACACCAGAAAAATAAAAAAACTTGATTTAGTATTCTCTCATATATTCTTGGCTAATACAATCAATATTGATTATAATAAAGTGATTTTGATTTCAAATATAACAAAATACCAAATTAAAACAAAAGAAATGATATGTATACAAAAGAAATTATTATTGAAGTGATTTTGATTGGCACATGGTTTGTAACATATGTTTTGAATACATAAATGCATACAAAAGAAATGATATATAGTCCCTTCATGCAATATTTGAAAATCCAAGATTGCCAAACTTTCATGATTTATATATGAACAATTGTTATATAATTGAAAGGACATGTGCAAGACAAAATCATTTTATGAATTTTCCAAAGCAGTTGCTTACCAGCGCCACTTAATCCAGATTTTGCCTGCATAATTCCTTGGCTATACAGTGAAGAGGGATCCATATGCAAAGATCTTTGTTCTGCACCCATGACACCCTTAATGTTCCACAACAGTTGCACGTAAGTTGACAGAATGAACATAAACATACAAGGAAAGATAAATGAAAAAAGGGACAAATGGTGCAAGGGATTACAGATGTCTGTTGATTTTGTCCCTGAATATGCTGCATGGCAGCAGATCCACCGACAGGATTGCTTTGGATAAACTGCCTGCATCATCAGTTTAGAAAGAACAAGTCATTGGTTCCTGTTACTAACGATCCTAGTAACAATGGGATTCAAACATTAGTCAATACCCTGGATGGCTGGTTGCAGATTTTAGAAGCGCAACTCTATTAGCATCAAGAAATTGTGGGGATATTTCAGTATCCACTGACTGTGGTTGTTTCATGCGCTCTTCATACATCTTAGCAGCCAATAAACTAGCTGTTGACGGGCCTAAATTGCCATTAGTGTTTGTTGCATTTATTGTCCCACCAATTGCAGGATGATTAGCACCTCTTCGGTGCATTTGAGCATGTTGCTGCTGCATGACTTGCAGTTGCTGCATATGTAACTGTCTTTGATGTTCTTCCTTTGCTTTTGTCCGTTGTGTCTGGGAGTTATATTGAAGTTCAATTGGACCATCAAGTGAACCAGCAAATGACAAAACATTGCCAGGAAGTTACCTCTATATATGCTGCAGCTACTTGAGAATGCTTTTCATTTGTTCTAGCAATGAAGATATCCCAGAAAACAGACCACCACTCAAATAGGAAGCCCCCGGGAGCATCAATTGCTGCAAATCAACCCAAGTTACATTGTTAACTGGTCCGAATACAAGTGTGAATCTTCTAAATAAAAATGATTGAATGTACAGATGATTTTCTTACGATGTTGAAGAAAATTTGTTCTGATTGGTTGGATGATTCCTTTATAAGTCAATTGTGGCATGATTCTTGCACAGAACAGTAATTGTATTGTTGAATTTTATTTGAAGTCATATGTGGCACGAAATCATGTTCACCACCAGCAAGAAACATGAGATACTTAGTTTACTTTCTTTAATAGTAAAAGATATTTAGAATCTGCACTTGAGCGGCTTTGTAATGTTGAACACCACATTTGCAGATATCCAAACCGACCCTATGTCAAACTCTTATCAAGATAGTTAAATACCCAGGAATTGCCAAATACTACCACTTCTTAAAACCTATGAGGGAATTTGTATAATAAAAATAAAATCAATAGATCTTTCCCGCTTGATTATAAAGAAAGTATCAATAAGAAACAGCATAGAGAAAGAAGTTTACTCACCCACAGGGTCCGTCGAAACTTTTCCCTCTTCCTTGAAAGCTTTGGCAGTGGCTTGCAGGTTTCGTTTCAAAAGATAATCATGTATATAAACATCAAGCCTAACAAGAAAGAATCAAAATGAAGGAGAATTCAGAATAACCAACAAAGCATATAATTCCAAAATTCAAAATCCGAAACACAAACAAAGAAAATCAAGGTTCGTCCTACTCACATCTTATCCGCTTCCCAGTTACTCTGAGCCATAATTAATGCTCCAATCCACGACACTGTACACGATCAATCTCAATTCCTGTTTCTTTTCAATCTTCGCCGCCAAATTAGCTAACCAGGCCAACAAACTCCAGACGCAGAAAGCAGGCAACGAGAATCCAAGAGAAAATATCGAGATCACGTCCTACATTACAGAAACCCGTATCAACATCGGAAATTCCAGTTGGAGGCAAGAAACAAAATTAGGATCAGCAACAAACACAAATGAACCCCACGATTGCAGATTACGCGCAGGCGAGCAAATGAATTTCGGAATCCAACCTTCAGACCGCCATCTCCTCTATAATTCCCGGATCACGACCGACATCTGAGGCCCAAAGAAAGACAGAAAATATGGAGATCTGGATGGAGGAGGCGAAGAAGGGGATCGAAGAAAGAGTATGTTAACGAGTTGTGATAAAACCGAAGGCGAGGAGTTCCACATTTACAATGAATGGAGAGAGAAGGGGAGAGGGGGAGGAGGGGAGATCAAACCGCTGCCTGGTCTCGAACTCCCTTGGCTCGGATCCGAACCAAAGCTTCGCATTCGGTCCGTTTAACTCCGAACCAGGTTCACTGTACGTCGTAAGTTATATGCGGGAAGGTAAGTAGTGGATCATGAACGTTAAAACTAAGAGCAAGGTTCCTGATCTTAAACGCATAGAAGTTTTCGTACGGATACAAAGTTTGGGAAGATAGGAGACGGCACAGCTTAAGGTCCGTCGGTATGCGTGAGTTGAGCTTAAATCTCGACCGTTGGTTTTCATGAGCGGGCCAATCCCATGGCCCGGAGATATTATTTGGTGTGGTGCGACGATGACGCCCGACGGTAAGAACATGAACTTAGCATCAATCTCAGCCGTCGATTGAACTTGTTCCGTGACACAAACGGGAAGGCAAGTGTGGAGAATTGGCCATAAATGAACATGTGCAGGACATGTGACACAGTGGAACGAGTTTTTGGGAGTACTGGAAAGGATGGTTTTATGTCTTTTTTTCAATACTTATTAAGAACTATATATATATGTACATATATATATATATACATATATATATATATACATATATATATATATACATATATATATATATACATATATATATATATACATATATATATATATATACATATATATATATA